AATTGTACAGAATGCTTGAGCAAGAGGGGTCCACAGGTCTATCTCTTGGATGTTCTCTTTCCTAGAGAGGCAGTGAGAACTGAGAGGGCAGGTGACATAGTGAAGTGCGCACATGGTGAAAGACTCATGGTGAGTGTGGATGGGCCCAGAACCCAAGTTCTGTCACTGCAGGCTGCCTTCGTCCCCCTCCTGCTTCCTTCCGCTCAGTAACTCTGAAAATATGCTCTAGGCCAGGGACTAAGCTTGACGATTGGCTGATTGTAGTCAGGAAAGTGGAGCCACCAATTTTTCCTGAAGATGCATTCTTTCTTAAGCAGGGAATCGATTTCCAACAAGATACACAGGCTTCCAATGAAGCCACTTATGTGAATCTGTACAAAACACCATTAATCCACTGCTAGGGTTGTTTATCTCCCTGGCTGGGGCAGCCACGGCCTTTTCAGATCCGGGATATGATGCTGCTGGAGGAATGGGTACAGAAGGTTCCCCAACCAGAGGGGCATCCCATGGCAGGGGTGTAAGCGGACCAGTGGTGGGGACCCGAGGGGGCCATCTGCAGGAGGCCAGTGCACAGTGGCCCCAGGCCTGTCCCTGTGCAGCCATGAACTTGCCATGTGACTTGGATCTTTCTCAGCCCATGTCCAGAAGCCCCCACCTTCCTTCCCATCAGTAAATGGGAATAAATGGTCCTGAATGTTCCTTTCCACTTTCAGAAGCAGATGCCAGGTGATGACACACGCTTTGCAGGGAGCAAAGAGACTTGGCTTTGAATCTCAGCTTCACCATTCTGGGACCCTGGGGGCTGTGGGTTGAGTTGTGTCTTCCAAGAGAAGATACGTTTGAGCCCTAACCCCCAGCACCTGGGGATGTGACCTGATTGGGAGATAGGGTCTTTACAGAGGTTATTAAGTTAACGTGAGGTCATTAGCATGGGCCCTAATCCAGTATGGCTGGCCTCCTTATCAAAAGGGGAAGTGTGGACACAGAGACAGGCACCCACAGAGGCAAGACGATGGGAAGACATACAGGGAGAAGGCCATCCACAAGCCAACAAGAGTGGCCTCAGAACGAGCCACCCCTGCCAACACGTGGAGCTCAGCCTTTTAGCCTCCAGACCTGCAAGATCAAACATTCCTGTCGTTGAGGCCCCCAGCCTGTGGTGCTTTGTTACAGCAGCCCTGGCAGACTGCTACAGGGGACTGGATCTCTGAGTTCCCCGAGGAGTGACATGGGCGTAGGGACACCTGCGCTGCAAGGGTTGCTTTAGGAATCCCTTAGTGCCGCCCCTGACATTTGGTAAGCGCTCAGTGGTAGCCATGGCTCAGTCCCGTGCTCCGTGCTGTGCCCCCCAGCGCCTCTAGGGGGCCCGCAGAGGAGGGACAGGACAGACCGAGGCCTCAAGTCAGACCTTTCAAAGAGAACTGGGTCACCAAGGCACCCCTTCGAAAAGCCTCTCTAAATATGGAGAAGGCCAGAGAAATCACTATTAATGCAGTGCTTAATGGTTTTTAGCCAGAGAGTGGCCTCAGCCCTAATCGACAAGGCCTCGAAGCTGAGGTTTCTTTATTTTTATGTCCCGGGTACACTTTGAGTATGTTGAGCTGCTATGAATAATCAATGAGTGCAGTAGTCATGGCCATTTTATGGGTGTTCTGTAAAGGAGGCGGCATGGTTCTGATGGGAAGGACACTTCCTGGATGACCCTGAGAAAATCCATTATCCTCCTTGGGCCTCAGTTTCCCTATCTGCAAAGGGAAGAGAGTAGACCAACCAGGCCAGGGATTCTTATGCTGCATTTGTGAAGGCCTGGGGGTTAAGTATAAATTTCTTGCATACACATGCATTGCTCAGACGTATTTTATGGGCAGCAAAAATGCTATCCATAGCTCTTGTCTGGTTCTTGAAGGGGCCTCTGACTCCCAGATTGTCTGCAATGACTTTCCTGGACAACCTCTCAGGGCTGCTAGTTCCTGGCCGGTCTGCAGTTCTGGGACTCTGATTTTTTTTTTTTTTTTAAGATTTTATTTATTTATTTGACAGAGAGAGACACAGCGAGAGAGGGAACACAAGCAGGGGGAGTGGGAGAAGGAGGGTTCCCCGCAGAGCAGGGAGCCCGATGCGGGACTCGATCCCAGGACCCTGGGATCATGACCTGAGCTGAAGGCAGTCGCTTAACCAACTGAGCCACCCAGGCGCCCCTGGGACTCTGATTTTATAGTGGTTTCTAAGCCTCAAAAAGCAAGTCCTACAGATGTGGCTTCTCTGAGTTACTGGGATGAGAGGGATCAGGGACAGAGAGCTCATCACTGGGGGCTTTGCTGACCAGGGAGACCCCAGCTGCCCAGCACTCAGGGGTCTCTGCTTTGGCCCTCCCTCCTGCTCCACAGCCCTCGCCGTGGCTGAGTGGTGCCTCCCAGCCCCTCCACTCACCCCTCTCCTGGATGCTACACCTGCCTAACCCATCTGCCTGCTTTGACGCTGACCCCACCCCCATCACATTTGGAGTAAAACCCAAATCCCTTACAATCCCTCCCTGATCCAGCCTCCACCGGCCTCTCTGAAGGCATCTTCCCCCATCCCCCCTGGCTCCCTGAGCTGCAGCCTCACTGACCGTTAGTCAGGGCTTCATGCTTTAGCCTCGGCCCACGCTTGGGTCTTTGCCTTGCTGGGCCCTCGGCCTGGAACGTTCCTCCCCACATCTTCCACTGCCTGACTCCTCCAAGTCTCAACTCAGACACCAGCTCTTCAGGAAGCCCCTCCCCCCCCCCCCCCCACTAACGCAGACTTCCCTTCCCTCTGTTCTCCTCCTTCAGTGCACCTGGCCCGTTTCCTTCAGAGCACTGACACGACCTATAAGGAAATATTGATGTGTTTTCTTCCCTACCAAAATGTCAACTCGTGGGGGAATAAACTGAGTCTTACATGTCTCAGTGCCTGGCTCATAGTAGCATTTAATAAATGCTGGAACACACTCACTCGCTTGGCTAAAATTAAGATGACTGACAACACCAGGTGCTGGGGAGGGTGTGGGACAGTGGGTCCTCTCAGTACAGCCGGTAAGCGTGGACTATGGTACAACAATTCTGGAGAGCAATTTTGTCATTTTTACAAAATCACATACACTTATTGTATGACCCAGCCATTCTACTCCCAGGTATCTGCCCAAGGGAACTGAAGACCTATGTCCACACAAAGACTTGTACACACATATTGCAGACCTGTCCACCATAGCCGAAGACTGGAAACAGACCATCTAGAACAGGCAAGACCGCTGCATCCCCACGGTCTGATGGGACAGAGAGGAGAAGGAAGCTGAGCATCCACCCGAGTGTTCCCTGCGGCCAGGGCAGCTGAGTGGTGGTGACCTGTAGTAGTAGGGTGTGTTGGGCAGGGCCTGGGGCGATCCCAGGGATGTCCCCGGAGACAGAGATTCGCCGAGCACCCTGGTCCCAAGTCTGAAAGCAGGGGACCAGCCACTTGAGAGAACCTGGTGCTGGTGCTGCCCGTGGGTACAGGATTCTTGCAAAATGCCAATTAAGACATTTGACCCAAATTCGGATAAAAGCCTTTTTCCTGTGTCAAGTGGAGCTAATAATATACATTTGTTCATAATTTATGAGGCTTAGTAAGTGGGAACAATTAAGGAAGAGGCCTGCGCAAAACCTATTTCTTTTAAGTGTCACATAGGCCTTTTCTTGTTCTCTAAGGCCGTCCCACCCTCTCTGCCCACCATGAAACACTTTATTGTTTTTATTATTCTTATTTCTTATTTGTTGTTAGTACTGTTAGCTACCATTTACTGAGCATCTTCCGAGCCAGGCTGTAACATTGCTTTGTTTAATCTTAACTCTCTGAGGCGGGTGTTGTCCCATTCTACAGATGAGGCCGGTGAGCTTCAGAGAGAAGAGATTTGCCCAAGGTTTCACAGCTGGCGAGTGGGGATTATGATTCAGGTCTGCCAGACCCCAAAGCCTGTGGTACGCCATTTCTGGGTCAGCCTCCCAGCTCGGGCTGTTTCTCAATCTGCAGGGCATCCCTTCTATTGGTGGTCGTTAAATGGGGGAGACCAGGGTCAGAAAGCCATCACCTTCTGATGAGTCGGTCCGGGGTTTGGCCTGAGAACCTGCATTGTTTCTAACACGTTCGCAGGTGGTGTTGACCCTGCCGGTCCTGGGACCACACTTTGAGATACTCTGGTTCAGTCACTGCTGTTACCGTAGTCCTCTGTGCCTCCCTCCTCCCCCACCCACCATGGTCAGGTGCGCTTAGAGCCTTGTAGACCTTTTCATGTACATTTGCATATGTATTATTGTACACAAAGAATTGTGTAGTTTGATTTTTCTCTTTACGCACATGAGATCATAGTCTACCTGCTATATTCTACAATTTAGTTTTTATTTCCATTTCATGTGTCTTGGAGAGCATATACCTCTACCTCATTCTTTTCAGAGGCACTGTGGTTTTCCAGGCTTCAGGTGATTATAGTTTTATTTACCTATTTTCCACTGATGGCTGGTCTTCCACATTTTAGACATTACGCATAGTCCTGTAAAGTCGCTGAGAACATAGATGAGTATTTCTCCAGAACATCGTCAGCCATCATTATTGCTGGGTTTTGTTTCATTGTTAATATTGCATTCCAGAAATCCCCTTTCAGGTGGGGACAGTAAATGAGTATCTGTTTAGAGCTTCTAATGAAGTTTTCAACACAGTAGTTCTGCTAAGAAGAAAGAGGTGCTGTGGGGCGTTGAGGGATGTGTAGGAGAGCAAAGGAGGAGGGGAGAGAACAGCAGGCAGGATTTAGCTTAGCTCCTGGTAGATTCAACCCTTGCCAGAGGGTGGGGCCTACCTTGGTATCTCTTGGTCACATGGCAAAATCGGGCCTTGACCAAGGGCTGCCAGAGGTCCAAGTTTGCAGCACCATGAGTAAGAAGTTCAGTCCACGCCCGGATCCAGCCAAGCCCAGCTCTGACTCGCCTCCTTCCTACCTGTCTCCTCAGGGTGGGGGGTCCGGGGAGGAGCAACTCTGCGCTGACTTTCCCGAGCTTGACCTCTCCCAGCTGGATGCCAGCGACTTTGACTCAGCCACCTGCTTCGGGGAGCTGCAGTGGTGCCCAGAGAACTCCGACACTGAACCCAGCCAGTATAGCCCCGATGACTCCGAGCTCTTCCAGGTATGTCCTCCGAGCCTTGCGGTCACTCTCTGCTCCTGAAAGCCTGACTCTGCCCTGCCCCACCTGCTTTTGCATTTGCTCATGCAAAGAAGTCTCATCACCCCCCAAAGCTCTTGGGACCCTGCCTCTTGCCCTGGATCTGCCCTTAATCTTGGGCAGTTCTCACCCCCCCGCCGGGCCTGTTACCACCTCCGCACAGTGAGGGCCGGGAAGAGCTGCTCTTGCCAAGCCACCCCAGTCAGAAGGGAGCCCCTCAGTGGGCCCCGGGTGGTTTAAAACCCCGAGACCTCCCTTCCCTGTATTATCTCACTGAATTCTCATCCCTACCCTGCAAGGCAGGTGTGATTATGAACCCATTTTATAGATGAGGAGACTGAGGCTTCGGGAAGTTAAATCATGTGCCGAGGGCGATTCACCTAGTCAGTAGCTGAGCTGGTTGCAAACCCAGTCGGCCTTCCTCCTGAGCCAGGGCTTTGTAACCACGGCGACGCCATAACGGAGATGACTCACATGTATTGAACAACTGCTCTTGTGGCAGGACTGTCCCTGTTGTGTCTATTAACTCATTTAATTCTCTTAACAACTCTTAGAGTGGGTACAGCTGTCTTCATTTTTCAGCTGGGGGCCTAGAGATTGTTTAAAAAGAGACAGTTCTGAGAACTGCAGTGCATATCAGTGCCTCTCACCTTGCATTCTCTGCGTCCAGTCTCAGGGGGCCCGCGACAGGCGACCTTTCCTTTAAGAAGCCCCCGAGTATGGAATATTACGAAGTTTGGGATTTACTTCAAAATACAGCAAGCTCTGCATGCATTTGTGGGTGTGGGTGTGGGTGTGGGTGTGTCGGGGAGGGTAGTAGGTGAAACAAGATCCGCCGTGTTGAAGCTGAGTGATGGGTACAATCAGATGTATTATTCTTTCCTTGAAATCTGCTCCCCCATAAAGACTGGCGGGAGAAGGCCTCGCTCCCCACGTCTGTCTGGCAAGATAACCATTGTACCAGTCATGGGCCGCGCGCATGTCAAGTGTCATGCTGGCGTGTGATGGGCATCGTCTCAGTCCCCAGGGATTGTAGCGCTCCTTCTAGAAATGGAAGCTTCCTCTTCCCATCAGGCACTGTGCTGTCTACAATCTAGAGAGAAAACTGACCCAAGCTCATTTAACACAGAAACCGTGGTCATTGTGACACGTGCACAAAAGAAACCAGCCGGGTGTGAGAAGGGGATCCAAAGACTGGATGGTCAGGAAGGGCCTCTCCGAGGAGGCCATGCTTCAGTTGGAGGATGAGAGGGGGAGCAGCCATGTGAGCTCAAAGAGCGGGGACAGAACTTTCCAGGCAGAGGAAGCAGTAAGGGCAGAGCCAGGGAGCAGGAAAGTTTGCTGTGTTGGGGAACAGAAGAGCTGCGGGTAGCAGGGGGGAGTCAGAGAGGTAGTCAGGGGCCAGATCATGCAGGGTCTTGTGGGCCATGGTGAGGAGTCTGGATTTTTCCCAAGTCTGTTCTAACCTATAAAGAAAGGACTGTTAATAACCATTTTACAGGTGAGGAAAGTGAAACTCAGAGAGGTTGAGTAACCTGGTGCCAGGTCACACAGCTAGGAAGGGTCTAACTGAGGAAGCCATACCCCTCAGTGCTGAACAACCTCTCTGCCAACCCTGTGCAGAGCAGCATGGCTGGGCTCCAGTTCTGGCTTCGTCCAGGGACCTGCATTCTTTATTTGAACGATAGGGATAAGACATACGCTATGCTGCTTTCTCCCTCAGAGGGGGCTAACTTCCAGAAAATGCTTTCAGGTCATGGAGAGCTGATGAGCGAGAGAGGTTTAGATACTGCATGGAGACCAGCCCCACCTGAACTGAACAGGCCCCCACTTCCTCAGACTGGCCAGACCCACCAGCAAGCCCCTGCCGAGATCCCACTCTGTGCTCGAAATGGTCTTGGGCACAAGTGAGCCTGTGTGGCCCTAGGGCTCCCAGCCCCGCGAGGAAAGCAGAACCCTTGCAGACAGATAGCACCCTGGCTGACCCCTGCCCACCTGCCCTCCCAAGCCCAGGCCAGTTCCACCCATTACCCACGATGAGCCCCTGTGTGTGTGATTATGTGATCAGTGCCTGTCTCCCTGCCACACACACATCATAAACCCCATGACCTTGGGGGCCACGATGGCATTATGCACTGTTCTATCCCCGGGCTCTACCCAGAGCCTGGCACTCGCTCGGGCCTTAACAAACATATATCAGATGAATAAATCCTTCAAGGCCCAGCTCTCCTGTTGCCTCCTTAGGCAGTTGGTGAGTTCCTCTCCTGGGCTCCCATCTGCGTGTGCCCACGCACAGGCTTGCCTGTGTCTCTGTGCCCTTTAGACGGTGAGTTCTTGAGGACAAACAGCATTGGATTAGTCTCGGGCCCTCACACGTCATAAGGACTCGATCACATGCATTGAATGAAGGAACTGATGGTGATTCTTTCCTGCCAGGGACCAGATGTGGCCCATTCCACAAACCTCAAGCTCGTGTCGTGGGTTCTCTCTCGGCCACAAGCTCGGTTTTCTCAGTTGGCCACTGGGAATCCTGGGGCCATGCTGCCTGGGTCAGAGTTGGGTTCCCCCAGTCAGATGGTGCCACTGCTATGGAAACAGACTGGGAGCGTGGAGGGCAAGCCACGGTGACAGGGTTAACACCTCCTCGGGGGCAGGGACTGTGCCCTCCGTGTCTCTGCGTTTCCAGAGTTCTCCGGCCAGGACCACAACCGTCGCTAAGTAATTTTGGAGGAAGCAGGCTTTGGGTTGTTCTGTCAGTTTGCTGTGTGGTCTTGGGCAAGGAGCTCCCTGAGTTGGGCCTCAGTTTCCCCATGTGGGGAATGTGGTGGATTCAATCAGTGGTTCTTGATCCGTTGAGGGGAGGGTCACCAGGTCCTTTTAGACTCTGATGAAATCTGTGGACCCACTGCTGGAAAAAAAGGAGGAAAAACTGATTTCCTGGGTTTTCTGGAGCCCAGTTGAGTCTCCTGGACAGGCGGGATTTCTGTCCCTTGTAGCAGAAATCCTGTTCTATGTCATTCCGGAATTCAGACCCCTCCTAGGCCTTCAAAGTGAAGCATTTTCCCTAAGATTTCTTCAAGACTCCTTTTCCTCCGGCTCAGGAAGGCTGGGGTGGGGCTGAGGCTATTAATATCCCTTCCTTCCCTGATTAACTCTCCATTAATTTGCACTCCGCTTCCAAGTGGAGCAGGCAGAGCCTGGCCAGTGGGCCCGCGAAGAGGAGAGGGTGGTGCAGCCCCTGTGATGTATTACCCTGGGTGCTGACAGACGCTGTGGACGCTGTGGGCAGATCGGCCTTGCTTCCCGGCAGGGTCAGGGCCTCCAACCCCGCTGGCTGCTCCCGAGCTGGAGCAGCCCAGGGAGGGCTGAGGAGAGGGGCAGGTCTTTTGTTACTCATTTCGTTTTGGCCCAGCCTGTTGGGTGCTTCCTGAGGGCTTGGCTGTTTTACATTCATTTTCCCATGGTGCCTGGCACACAGTAAATCCTACCCCCACCCTGACTTGCTCTGTGACGTTGACAAGTCTGTTTCCTGGACCTTCATTCCCCCCCGCCAAAAAAAGAATGGCAAATAGGTTTCCTCATAAGGAAATGAGGAATATCAGTTATTGCCTGGAGGGCTCTGTTACAGATGTTGGTGTAGGGGCACCTGGGTGACACAGTCAGTTAAGCGTCCGACTCTTGATTTCAGCGCAGGTCATGATCTCAGGGTGGTGAGATTGAGCCCCACGTCAGGCTCTGCGCTGGGCGTGGAACCTGCTTGATTCTCTCTCTCCCTCTGTCCCTCCCCCCGCTTCTCTTAAAAAAAAAAAACCAAAACAAAACAGAAAGATACTGGTGTGGAAAGAACAAGAGCACAATTGGTGAATGATATGGGGGAGGGGCAGTGGCGTGTGGGGCCCACGTTTAACACCCCTGGTCATTACATGATCCCTGAGGGATCCAGCTCTGATGTGTGTGATAATTCATAGTATCTCTGGGCCATTGGCTGTGTCCCTGTGGGAAAGGGGGAGCGCTCGTTCCATCTGGTGCTGGTGACATCATTTCTGAATAACTTCCCTCTAGAATCTCTCTTTCGAGATGCTCATCTCAGTATCTCCCGGTGGCCAGAATTCACTGTTTGGTGCATTCGTTGTTCTGTTCGACAAATCTGCCTGGGTACCACCTGCCCCAGGCGCTGAGCTAGGCTTGGGAGCACCCTCTGGAGGAGCACTTTCGTCACTACTTCCAGACCTGGCCTTCCTGAGCAGACAGTGCGGGGAGAGGGGGATCATGTTTTCCCATTCTACAGAAAAACCAGCAAGGCTTAGAAGAGAGAAGCGATTGGCTCACAGTCACCCCGTGGTGGCACAGTCTCATGTGGTCAGCCCCCAGAGTGGTCATTGGGTCCCTGGTTCCAAGGTCTTACTTCAGGTCCTGTCAGGAGAGACAGATCACTCTGGGAATACAGGGGACTCTGGCCTGAGGGTGGTGGTGGGGGGCAGTCAAATGAGCCCATCACATTCTCGAGCCAGGGTCTGCAGGCCCGGATCTGCCCTTGTGTTGTTGCCCCCCCATATACACACACTCCCCAGGGCCTGGGTCAGGCCCAACCAAAATCTTCTTTCGATCTTTCTTTTATTTTAGCTCTGTTCCAAAAATGACAAACGCGTTTGTCCTCTCCGCCCCATGTCCCCCTTCGAGTTACTCAGCCGCTGTCCGGTTGTGAAGGCCTGGAAGGGGCTGAGTGCAGCCGAAGGCCGTCAGGAGACGCGATTCTCAGATGCACTTCTTGAAGAAGGGATAAATAGCCTGACCTGGGGTGGGAAAGAGTGCGGGCGGAGGCCTCACGTGACCGCAGGCGCCTCCTGCCAGAACAGGCCCATCGGGCAGGGCTTCCTGAACCAGGTGCTGGGTGCCTCACCTGGGAGCCGTGTGAGCACCACGCTCCAGGGCCTCTGGGCATGGGGGCCCGCGGGCTGCTGTCTGTGGGTGGGCAGGCCGTGTGCGTGCTGACCCTTGTCATTGTAGGTCTGAGGCATCGGAGGAGCTCGAGTCTCAGCTCATCTGTGCCACAGTGGCCTCAGTAGAAGTCCTCCCCTGTCCTGGATTTACTCTGTGACCCTGGACACCTTGTTCAACCTCCACATGCCTCAGTTTCCCCAACTGCAAAATAGAGATTAGAGTAGAACTCCCATCATAGTCCTCGTTGTGAGGCTTCCCTGAGGCAGAATTCACGAAGCCTTTCTGCTCCTCTCCTTGGCCCCAGTCTTTGTCCCCGGCTTTTTGCTCCAGGTTTTCCCCTCTGCCTGGAGTCTTCTGTTGCCCCCCCACCCCTTCGCCTGGCGCCTTCTTGTCTTCTAGGCCTCAGTTGAAGTGCCAGCGAGCTGCTCAGAGCAGCCTTCTGGGACCCCCCTCACTAGCCTGTAACTCTTCACCCGTTCTCTCCGTAGCAGCTTCCGATTACTTTCTTCCTAGACTTCCATTCCCTGAAATGATCTTGTTTGTTCCCTTGTTCTAAGTCTGTTCTCCGCTGGGGAGGAAGCTCCATGGGGGCAGGGGCTGCACCTGTCCTGGCGTGCGGTAGGACTGGTGCCCGGACCGTGCCGGGCGCAGAGTAGCCATTCAGTACATGCGTGTCCGGGGAGGGGAGGGGGCGGGGAGGCTGCCCACACCACTGCCACCGCCATCCCAGTAGCGATGGGAGCAGTGGTCCTAAGTACTGATTATGCACCAGGCACCATTTGTTTGAGAGGCATCTTCATATACGTTAACTCAGATGAAGTCAGGTCCTGAACAATAACCGTAAGAAGTAGGTACTGTTGTTGTGTGGGACAGATGAAGAAACTAAGTAATTTGCCCGAGGACCCATGATTGATAAGTATGGGATCTGAGATGCAACCCCAGCTCCAGAGCCCAAGCTCCTAAGCCACCACTCCTGAGTGGTGAGCAAGGCCGAGGAACCCCCTGGGACATGGGAGCGGTTTATTATTGCTGTGGTTATCATTGTCACAGCCAACCCCAGAGCTTCCATCCTGTACGCTGCCTGCCTGGGCCCCAGCGTCAGCGGGGCTGGGAGGCCGCAATGGGGTGCTGTTGCCAGAGGCAGGGACCAGCTTCAGGGGCCAAGGGCTGTGTCCCAGGAGTCAGAACAGGAGGCTGTGGTGTGGGAGGCCGCTGTCCTTGGTCAAGGGGACAGCAGGTGTCTTCCAGGTGGACAGCCCTGTGCTCACACTGGGGAGCAGCAGAGCCAGGATTGGAGCTTCCGGGGCGAGGCTCTTTCCAGTATCACGTGCTGCCTGCTCGCAAACTTCTGTGATTTCTGAGTCGCTAACATGTTTCTTGGGCATCTGCTATCCCAGCGATACTGAGAGATCTGAGAGCGGGGGAAGGACGGGAGAGGATTTGGCAAGGGGCTGATGGTGGTGCAGCTGCATGTGCAGAGCAGATTTCTACCAAGAAGACGTGCAGACGGCCAAGCCCAGGGTACTGACTAACCGTGTCCCTCTCTGCTCCACCGCGCTCCTCACTTCAGATCATCGACAGTGAGAATGAGGCCCTCCTGGCAGCGCTCACCAAGACCCTGGACGAAATCCCTGAAGACGACGTGGGTCTGGCTGCCTTCCCGGCCCTGGACGGTGGAGACGCACCATCCTGCACTTCGGCTTCACCTGCCACCTCATCTGCACCCCCCAGCCCCAGCCCCTCGCTGGAAAGGCCCCAGGCCCCGACGCCTGAGGTGGACGAACTCTCCCTGGTGAGACCCTAGTTCCAGCTGACGTGATGGTGGTGGGCTGGGCTGTGCTGTCTGAGTGTAGGCTTGTGGATGCAGGGGAAGCTGCACCAGCCGCTGCAGGGCTCTCTGTGCACCACTGAGCAGCCTGGAAGGGCAGCCTGGAAGGCCTCCGGGCCTCACTGTTCCTGCCTGTACAGCTGGACTAACCCCGCAGGCTCCACCTACACTCTGTAGGTCCTTTGGGATTTCACCGGTTGACCTTCCTTGTGTGGTAAACCCTCGAAATCACATGTAAACCTTTCCCTGAAGGTTATGCATGCACACGCAGTCAAAATTCAAGCAGGAAGTGTGGATAGTTAAAAGCAAAACCTCCTTATCCATCCCACAGTTGTGTTCTCCTTGCTTGGAGGTAACCATGGTTACCGATCTGTTTTGTGACTTTCCTCTTCCACCTTTTTTTTTTTAAACTACAAAAGGGAGTCCACATTATACACCGCTCTGCACCTTTTCTCAGTGAACTGTCTTGAAAACTCAGCTGAGCACAGGTCACTCTGCTCCATCCTTTTTGTCAGCTGCGTAGTGTTCTTTTGTAAGGATATACCGTAACTTGTTTAACTCGTCTCCTGGTTGGTGGAGATTTATGTTGTTCCAACTCTGATTGCTACACTGTGGGGGTCAGTGTCCCAGCACAGGCCTTTGCCTCTTCTAAGTGGGTGAGTTTCTAGCAGTGGAATTCTTGGGCCTACAGATACCCGATGTTTCAGTTTAGACAGCTGGTTCCAGATTGCCCTCCACAGGGTTTGGGCTGGTTGATGCTCCCACCAGCAGAAGCTCAATGCCGTCTGTGAGTATATGTGGAATGGGGGTATGAGCAGTTTTCTGCACAGTTTTGCAGTTTTCTGGGGAGAAGCCTTCAGCTTTTATCAGGTTCTCAAAGGAGTCCAGACCTCAAAAGTTACTGAAAGCAGTTGCCCCTAATTCAGGCTGAGGGTGTTGGAAGCTGGGAGCTGAGATGTCATGGAGCGTGTGAAGTCCAGCTTCACTCACCTATCTTGGGGTCCCCGCCTTGGTGCTGCAGCTCCTGGGGGCTGACAAGACCCAGCTGGAAAATCGGAGCCTATTGAGCTGGGAAGGGTCTTAGGTCAGGGAAAGTTCTGAGCGGAAAGGCCCTTGGTGACTATCAAGTGCAGCTCTGGGAAAACTGAGGCCCAGAGCAGGGAGGGATTCTCCTGTGGTCACAGAGCAAGTCGGTATTCTGACTTCTGGTCCAGGAGGCTTTTCCTTCTTTCCCACTGCCTGCAAGTTCCCCAGAGCGGCATGAAACATTTAGTAAGCACCTATTGTGTGCTGGGCACGAGAATGTGTTCAGTCCCACATTGTGGCTTCTGCTGACAGGAATCCGACTGGGTTTGAATCCCAGCCCCAGCAGTTAGTGCTTGTGGGTCCTTTAGATCCCTAATATCTCTGATTCGGCTTCCTGGTCCATAAGGTGAAGCTGATAATAGCGGTTATCTCAAAGGCTATTAAGAGGAGTCCAGCAGATAATGCATGGAGAGCACTTAGAACGGTGCCTGGCATAGCAGTTGCTCAATAAATACTATCTAAGTAATAGTCCTGGCGGTAGTACTACCAAGAGGAATTCTCAGTGTGGGGACTCTGGAGAGTGATCAAACCCCAGAGAGGCAGAGAGCGACCCCTGCTGGCCACAGGGTGTTTGTCTCCCGTGCCTCAGACTGCCTTTCCTCCTCCGTCTGTTGAGCACTTCAGGCACTGTGCTAGGTGCACGGGAAACAGACTCACCCTCTAGACTCCCAGCATACCCACAGAGTTCAGAATGGCCCTGAGAAGTGATCCAGATGCCCAGTTTTCATGGGTCCCAGAGAGTCCACCGGTGGACTGACCAGGACCCATGGACCTCTGTATATCCGTGCGTCTCTCTGAGGTCAGCAGCTTCTGTCTTATCCCTTGAGAAACTCCTGAGTCCAGAAAGGTTCATAACTAGTCCTTTAGTGTTCTTGCTGCCATTATGCCAATGGAGAAACCAAGGCCTGGAGAGGGAAAGGACTCGCTCAAGGTCTCATAGTGAGTGGGGCTGAGCTGGGCCAGAACCAGGTCCCTCCCACTGGCTCAAGGATCTTTTGCTGTCCATGTCAGAGAATCACAGAGCTGCGTGTGTTGGTCTGGGGTCTAGGTGGGGTGGTGGGAATCCTCAGCTTCTAAGGGAATGAGGAGTGGCCTTTTCTCTGGTGCCTGAGCCTTTGGCACTCCTTGCTGGAGTGACCTGGGGGGCATATCCCTTGAGGGAAGATTGGTGCTATAGCAAAAACCCATCATGCTTCCCGACTTGTTCTCAGTCTTGCTGGGACAGGATCCCTGGTGGAATTTCCAGGGATGCTCGGCTCCCAGCTCTCTTGCTGGGATGCACCATGCACCTACCCTCTGGGTGCAGAAGTGTAACAGCGTCTCAGCAATTTTTATAGAAAACTTAGAAAAGCTAGACAAACTTTGGTATTCTTCCACCTGTGTAAAAACAGTCAGGTGTGTTGGAGGTGGTACATACATACATTCTTGTGTGATCGATCCAAAAACCTCAGGATTGGGTCACAAGAAGGTGGTTAATAGTCATTGCCTCTGGGAAGGAAGAAGGGGACACCTCAGGCAGGAGGGAGACTTGCTTCTCATTGTCCACCCCTTAGTATTTGTGGTATATATTTTTACACCATTTACAGGTATTACTTTTTTAATTTAAGAAATTAACTTTTAACGGAACAGTATGAATAAGCAAAAAGAACAAAAGGGAAATCAGCTGGAATCCCATACCAAAGAATCATTGTGGTGCCCGACTTTCCACATTGTGTGTGTGTACTATAAGTGTATGCAGAGTGTCCCAATAAACTGTTCGTGTCATATCTTAACAGTAGAGTGGGAAGACATTCCCCAAGATCTGTGTGGATTTCTCAAAGGCACAGGGCGTTAGTAACTCTGAAAACGATTTACATTTTATGGGGATGCTTAGATTGTTAGACAATCTGCTTTCTATACTTAATGTAATGGGAACATATCCATGAAATGCCCTCCCTGTATTCTTATCATAGTCCTGTGATGACCCGGAGTCAGGGCGTGCGCCATCCCAAGAAGCTGCTAGCTCTGGGCTCAGACTTCTCCCCAAGCCACGTTTCTCCATGTCCCCCAGCAGAGCACAGCCCCAGCTCCTCTCCTCTCTGCTTCTCCCACAGCTGCAGAAACTCCTCCTCGCCACGTCCTACCCGACCTCAAGCTCCGATACCCAGAAGGAAGGGACCACCTGGCGCCAGGCAGGCCTCAGGTCTAGGAATCAGCGGCCCTGTGTCAAGGTATTTGTGCACGTGTCCCCAAATCCACCCAGGCCCCCAGGTGACCTCTGAGGGGTGCAACCTTCAGCTCTTATTAGGGGGTATTGAGTTCAGTCACCTTCCCATTTACCCTCCTTGTGCCTCACATAGCCCTTGTAGCTGGTGCGCTGGGTACTTCTTGAGGCCCAGGCCAGTTTGGGGTTCTGGAAAGAGCATTGGACTTTCTCCTACATCTCAGTGTTTGAGGCGCCGTGTTAGACATTGGGTTAGAGCAGGGACAAGAAGATGTGGCCTGCTCTTAGCGAGCTTATTCTAATGGGTGACACACAGAAACCTCAGATCCTCGCTGGAAACCACAGTAAAGAGTTTGGATTTCTCAGGAGGGAAGTCATGGGAGAGTCCCAGGCTCTGTTGTGAACACCAAGGAGCGAAGCAAATCCCTTTTCCTCCTTGGACTCCATCTTCCAAGATTTTCAAAGAGGTTTCACCGGTGATTCCTGACATTCCCGTGACTCAAAGCCTGCACTTGGTCCTTCGCCTTGGGTCCCTGGACACTCCTGCAGGAGACTGTTGCGCACAATCCCATGCCCTCGGGGCAGAAACAGGGTTTTTTTTGTTTTAACAGTTTTATGGAGGTTTCACTTATATATCATAAAAGGCACTTATTTCGAAAGAACAATTCGATGATTTGTAGTAAAGGGACAGGGTTGTGCAGCCACGACCGCAATTTAGTTTTAGAACATTGCCGTCATCCCAGAAAGCTCCCCAGCACCCCCATTTACGCTTAATCCCTCTCCCCACACCCAGGCGACCACTAATGTGCTTCCTGGTGCCATTACCGAAGGGTATAGTGCAGCGGAGCGGGGTGGTCACAGCAGGGCTGCGGCAGTGAACCGGGAAGGGGTGAAATCCGTGGCTGGGAGGCCTGTTAGGAGGCTGGTCGTTCCTTTGCTCCTCATGACCTGAGCGCTGCTAGATGCCACGTGGGCCCCCGCCGGTGGCCACAGGCGTGGGGCAGAGTGGGGGGGGCGCAGTGCGGGCCTCCCTCCTCACTCGGCCCTCTTTCTCTCTCTAGGTGGACGGCACCCAAGACAAGAAGGCCCCCCCGACGCAGTCTCAGAGTCGGAGTCGGACAGAGCTGCAGAAGCACCTCACTTCAGGGCCCCCCTGCCCCCAGACTGAAGCCCGCTCCCCAGGCAGGGGCTTGCAGCCACCACCCTCCCTGAGCCCCCAGCTCCCAGCCAAGGAGGAGGAGGAAGCTGGTGAGGACTGCCCGAGCCCCCAGCCGGCTCCAGCCTCGCCCCAGGCCCCCCCAGCCCCGGGCAGGGCAGGCCCCGGCGCCCAGGGGTCCCGGGAGGACATGCAGGAGATGGTGAAGCTCATTCGCTACATGCACACCTACTGCCTTCCCCAGAGGAAGCTGCCCCCACAGGCCCCAGAGCCAGCCCCCCAGCCCTGCGGCAGCCCCTCCAAGCAGGTCAAACCCCGGCCCCGGTCCCAGCACCCTTCCAAAGGCTCCTGGGCTGAGTTCTCCATCCTGAGGGAACTTCTGGCTCAAGATGTCCTCTGTGATGTCAGCAAACCTTACCGCCTGGCCACACCTGTCTACGCCTCCCTCACGCCCCGGCCCAGGCCCAGGCCCCCCAAAGACAGCCAGGCCTCCCCTGGCCACCCGTCCCCCGTGGAGGAGGTGAGGATCACAGCTTCGCCCAGGAGCACCGGGCCCAGGCCCAGCCTGCGCCCACTGCGGCTTGAGGTGAAAGGACATGCCGGCCAGTCAGCCAGGCTGCAGCGGGAGGAGGAAGAGGAGGAGGAGGAAGAGGAAGAGGAGGAGGAAGAGGAGGAGGAGGAGGAGGAGTGGGGCCGGAAAAGACCGGGCCGAGGCCTGCCGTGGACCAAGCTGGGGAGGAAGCTGGAGAACGTGGTGTGCCCCGTGCGGCGTTCCAGGAGACTGAACCCGGAGCTGGGTCCCTGGCTGGCATTATCCGATGAGTCTCTGGTCCCTGCGGAGCCCCAAGGAGCTCTGCCCTCGCTGCGCCTGGCTCCCGAGGCCTACGACATGGCGGGGGCACTGGGCAGCCCCACGGATGAGGACAGTGGCCAAGACCAGCAGCTCCCACGGGGACCCCAGATCCCGGCTCTGGAGAGCCCCTGTGAGAGTGGGTGTGGGGACACGGATGAGGACCCCAGCTGCCCACGGCTCCCTTCCAGAGGTAGTCGGAGTCAGTGGTCTGCAAGAGAGGGGGCAGGGATGGGGCGTGGCGTACCCCACTGCGCTGGGAGCCAGGAGCCCTGTGCTGGGCAAGTCCCTTCCCCTCTCCAGCTCTCGACTTCCCTTTCTGTGCAATGGGCTAGTTGGGCGGATCTTCAGGAATCACCCACCCATCTCTGAGTTTCTCATCACGCATGGGCCAGGCACCACTTAATGAACACGGAGCGAGATGCCTGCCTTCGTGGGGCTTATGTGTCAGTGGGGCAGACAGGCAATCACAAAGTAAATAAAAAAGGAAGATAATTACAAATTGTGCTAAGTGCTCTAAAGAAGACGTCCTGGGTGATGATGTGACGAAAGGAGTGAGTCTGTAAATCGAGCTCCCTAATGACGTTGAATTTTAAATGGTAACAGTAGTGGTGGTGATTATAACAGGTATCTATCGTATGCTTGCTGTGCCAGGCGCTGGTCTGAAACTTGACACAGCTTAACCCCACTGACTCCTCACGGGGGCCTGTGTGGTAGGTGTGGGCATAATCTCCATTGTCAGACACAGAAACTGAGGCACAGCGGTATCGAGCGACCCGTCCAGCTAGCGAGTCCGTCCATCTGTCCACCTGTGCCTGGGCCCCCCAGCCCCTGGCCATCCCTGGGGCTCCCCCCGCCCCGCACTGTACTACACTGTTTGGCCAGAAGGGGTCACCTGCTCTTTCCGAAACCTCCCGTAGCCCTCCCGCTGCTCATGTTGCTGAGACCCTGGGAAGGAAGGTGGCTTTGAGTTGTCCCTGCCCTTCCCTAAAAATGACGGAGGCTTTTGGGTCACATGCCTGCAGGGAGCCCTGCTTGGCACCAGTGGGAGTTCGGGGTTTCCTCCAGAGGGAAACGTCTGCTAGTGATGCCGTGTTGGGGAATCTTATTTTTTTCTTTTTCATCTTCTTTGCAGACTCTCCCAGGTGCCTCATGCTGGCCTTGTCACAAAGGTAGATTTTTGGAAATCACTGGTTTATTATTCCATGAGTCTTTGTCCTGTTGGGTATGTGTATCGGGGGTGGGGGCTTGAGTGGGTGGTCAGCCTCTGTGCCTGCCCCGTCCCATGCCCCCACCCTCATTGCCATGTGGGGCCCTCGGTAGCTGGGGTCCCTCAGAAGGGAGGTCTCTGCAGGCCCAGGAAAAGTGGGGAATTAAGGTTTCAGGCCATTTCATAAGCTGTCCTCTCCAGGACGGGGGAGGGGGGTGGAATTCTTTTCTCCGCAGGGGAAAGCTGATAATACTGTGTGGCTTTGGCAAGTCTCCTCCCCACTCTGGGCCTCAGGTGCTCCTTCTGTAAAATAAGGAGGGTGTTGGAGAGTGATGATGCTTGCCGTCTCTCCATCCTCCAGAACATGTCTCCTGTGTCTCCTGCCAGAGCTGTAGGCTGCTTTGAATTCCTCTAAGCCAGGATGGGGGTTTCCCAGAAAATTCTCCCTGGAACCCACGTCTGTGGGCAGCAGAACCAGGGTCTGTCACAGTGTCCCGTTGCCCTCCTTGCATGGTGGGGAAGTGGAGCCTGCTGCTGATGGGCCTCTTTCCTTTCTGTCCTCCCCACCCCCACCAGTGACCCTCCTTTCGGCAGGAAGAGCTTTGAGCAGACCTTGACGGTGGAGCTCTGTGGCACCGCAGGTGAGCCCGGGGCTCGGCTGGTAGGGTGCCCTTGGGGGAGCCGACACGACTCCTGGCCACGAGTCCCCACACGGAGCGGCCCCCTCGAGCCCTCCCTGCCACTGCTGCACAGGCTGCAGGGCCCCGAAGGTGCACAGTGAGGGTGTCGTAAGGGGGAGAGTCAGCCAATCGGCTGCAAACGATCCGCACATGAGCTGAGGGCGGGGTTAGGAAAGGGACACACGTCTCCCCCCGAAGGAGCCCACCATCTTCTGTAGGAGACAGACTCACGCCATGACGAGTCCTGTTCCAGGCACACGCATTCAAAGTGTGTGCCAGAGCTCTGGGAGCACGCAGGAGGGGGCGGGCGGGGACCGGAGTGTGGCCCGGGAAGATTTGCAAGGCCTCCAGAGCAGGGGGCTTATGAGCCGGGCTTGCCGGAGGAGCAGAAGCTGGGGAGATGAAGGAGGCGGGCAGGAGGTCCCTGGTGGGCAGGATTGATGGGAACAGAGGCACGTGGGGTGAAATCACAGGTGCCCCTGGGGAGGCTGGTCACCTGGAGTCGCTGCGTAACAAAAGGGGGGCGGGCAGGAAGGAGCCATCACAGAAGGCCGAGAGGAATGCCGGGCTGAGGGTTTGATCTCCATCCTGGAGGCTTCAGGAGCCCCTGAAAGGGAGAGGTCGCGGGTGTTCAGCAAGTGCCCTTGGGTGCACTGGGGAGGAGGGAGGCCAAGGTCAGATGCGGGAAGCACTGATGGCACTGTGGCGGCCTGGTCCAGGTGGGAGGTTTGACCTGTGGCGCCTGCCTCCTTCCCACTCAGGGGACCTCGGAGCCAGTTGAGCGAGCTTGTTGAGTGACTGGATGTAGAACAGGAGGGGATATCTCAAATGACCTGAAGGTTTGGGCTTCTGTGCTCAGGCTACAGAGGGATGGCAGGGGGATTTCATCACATGCCCGCTCGAGATTGGCCGTGGACTGTGTGCGGAGTCCCGGGCCACATTCAGGCTCAGCCAGCCGTGCAGCGATTGGTTAGTGACGCCTGCCATTCGTTGGGCTGGGAGAATGGTGGTACCTGGGCTGCTTATTTGCCATCCCAGACTAGAGTCTCTGTCCATTGGAGAAGTGATCTGTCTCCGCCTCACAGGGTTCTCCTCTTGCTTGGCTAGGACTCACCCCACCCACCACACCTCCCTACAAGCCCACAGAGGAGGACCCCTTCAAGCCAGACATCAAACACAGCCCAGGCGAGGACAGAGCTCCCAGCCTCCCCAGCTTGGAGGGCCTCCAGCTTGGGGCCGCCCCCGTGGCTGCCCACAAGCTGCCAAAGAAGCACCCAGAACGGAGCGAGCTCCTGTCCCACCTGCGGCATGGTACAGCCCAGCCAGCCTCCCAGACTGGTCAGAAGCGCCCCTTCTCCTGCTCCTTCGGAGACCATGATTACTGCCAGGTGCTCAAGCCAGAAGGTGCCCTGCAGAGGAAGGTGCTGAGGTCCTGGGAGCCGTCTGGGGTCCACCTTGAGGACTGGCCCCTTGTTGGGGCCCCACGGGCTGCGGGGCAGGCCTCCGACAGGGAGGAAGACAGAAGCTGTGACGGTGGTGCCCCCACCAAGGACAGCGCGCTCCTGAGAGACCACGAGATCCGCGCCAGCCTCACCAAGCACTTCGGGCTCCTGGAGGCCGCCCTGGAGGACGAAGACCTGGCCTCCTGTAAGAGTGCGGAGTATGACACAGTCTTTGAGGACAGCAACAGTAGCAGTGGTGAGAGCAGCTTCCTCCTGGAGGAGGACGAGGACGAGGACGATGAAGAGGACGACTCGGGGCTCAGCCCCCCTCGCTCTGACCACTGCCCCTACCAGAGCCCCCCAAGCAAGGCCAGTCGGCAGCCCTGCTCCCGCAGCCGCTCCAGCTCCGGCTCCACCTGCCGCTCCTGGTCACCAGCCGCCCGGAGGACCTTCAGGTACGGGTACGGATGGGTGGCCTCAAGGGGGACAGTGGGCAGCTGAGGACCGCGGTTCCCAGGGTGCCAAGGGAGGGAGGAGCCCTGAAGCCGGGGCTCCGTCTCCCCATGTGGCCCACGTCTGGTCCGAGGCCCTGGAGGTTCTCCCTGGGGCAGTTGTGGGCAAGTTGTGGAAGCAAGCAAAGCCTGCTATGTGATGGTCAGGAGGCACCCAAATCTCTTGGCCCTGGGAGAGCAAGAAAGCCCACTGCCTGGCCATTCGTGGCCTTTATGTCTAAGTGAACGTGTCCCTTACTCATCTGTGTTTTCTGCTTTTATATTTGTAAACCGGACCCAGTTTAGTATCTATGTGACATCGACACGTGAAAGGAAGATTAGCAGAATTCTCATCTGCGTTCTAAAAAAAAAATAATACCTGACAAACAATGAATCATGGAACACTTCATCTAAAACTAATGATGTAATGTATGGGGATTAACATAAGAATAAAAAAAATCATAAAAAAAAAATACCTGGACTTAAAGCAGGGATAAGGTTTATTCCCATTTCTTGGTGCTGCTGAGCTGTGCAGGACTTCTAGCAGCCAGCCGTCCCCCTGGTTGCTGCTGACCTTCCCACAGGGATGGATGGTGTATCATGAGCCTGTGTGCTCCTACCATCTTGGCTCACTGAACTGGTCTGAAAGAAGGTGCCGGTCCAGAAGTCCACGGGGAGCTGGGCAGAAAGAATGGAGGTTTGGCATATGTTGGTGGAGACAGGTTGCTTCTCTCCCCGATCACAGCAGGACCTGATTCTTCACCTGAGGGAGGCCTGAGGAGGGTCAGTGCAGGTCCCAAACCCTCTGCCTGAGATGCACGTGAATGACCACTAGATGGTGCTCTCGGGTCTGGAGCCGGGCCCCGGCCACGTGGCGCTCGTTACCCTGTGATGACTGGACCCCACCCGCCCAGCGTCTGAGTCTGTGCGTCTGGGGGTGGTGGTGGAGAATCTGCATTTCTAACTAGTTCCCAGTGATGATGATGTCTCCAGAGTGCCAGACTCTGAGACCCAGAATTCAGGTAATAGAAAAATATCTTTTCTTAGAAAAACTCCGCTTTATATATCTATACCAGTAGCTCTTATCTGTTTGAAAATCTGATTAAAGCAAACACTCCTCTTCCCCTTAAAATGTACATGGACCTCTAACTGGGCATTCACTTTTAGGGGGTTTGTAGACTCGAGACACTAAGGTTAAGAAGCCCTGCATTACCTGTTACTCAAAATGAGTTCCTTCTCGATTTCTCTAAAAGCCCTTCTACGTAATAAGCCAGGATGATTGGTCGGACCTCTCTGAGCCCTCTTTCCGGCTCCAGTCTCCTGGTATGCGCATTAGGCAGTTTCCTCTGCAACATTTCGTAGCTCAGAAGCTACTAAGGCTCTTTTCTTTTAGAAATACAACCCCCAAGGCTGGAACTGGAGCTTCCTGGCCTCCATTCCCTCCTGACCAGTTCAGGGCTGTTGGGGGAAGGCCTGCATTCATGCACTTGCCTGCAGAGAGTTGGGAGCCTCTCTAGAAACTCCCATGGATTCTCCTTTTCCTCCTCTAGAAACTCCATGGATTCTCCTTTTCCTCCTCTAGAAACTCCATGGATTCTCCTTTTCCTCCTCTAGAAACTCCCATGGATTCTCCTATTCCTCTTCTTGCTTTTGGGCCAAGTTCAGGGCTGGCTTTTTCTGCTCCCTAGAGAAAATTAAGTGGTTAATTCAATTCTTGCTCAGCTGACAGAACTTGGCGCCTGGTAAATCTGGTAAACTGGTCATCCGTCTTCTCCAAACCCACATTTTTTCACCCATGCTTCCAATACCAAACATTGGTCCACAAGTGTTTTGTTTTTTTGTTTTTTTTTTTTTAAAGATTTTATTTATTTATTTGACAGAGACACAGCAAGAGAGGGAACACAGGCAGGGGGAGTGGGAGAGGGAGAAGCAGGCTTCCCGCCGAGCAGGGAGCCCGATGCGGGGCTCGATCCCAGGACCCTGGGATCATGACCTGAGCCGAAGGCAGACGCTTAATGACTGAGCCACCCAGGCGCCCCGGTCCACAAGTGTTTTGAGCTGGTTTAAAAATAACAAACCCCACAGTACCTTCTGGTCACTCTCAGCTCTTCAGGTGGGAAACTGCCAATCTGTTGCAAAGGGATGATGATACTGTTATTTATAGCACTTTATTTATTTATTTATTTTTCAATTTTTATTTTTATTTTTTTATTGGAGAGAGAGAGGGCAGGGCAGAGGGTGAGAGAGATTCCCAAGCAGGCTCCATGCCCAGTGCAGAGCCTTACTCGGGGTTCAATCTTGTGACTCTGAGATCATGACCTGAGCCAAAGTCAAGAGTCGGACGCTTAGATGACTGAACTACCCAGAACGCATTTATAGCACTTTAAAGTTTGCAAGTCATATCCCCTTCTGTGACCCTATTTAGCTTCACAGATGCACTTGGAGGGCACATCTGCTTCTTATCCCCATTTTATAGATGAGGTTGCTGAGGCTCTTAAGAGGTGCAACAGAAAAGCAAGCAAGCAATTATTGAGCAGGTCTTGAGCTCAGCATTTTCTAATTTGCGCCTCACAAATGGCCAAGGAGGCTGTACAGTCAGTTCTCCCTGTCTTATAGTCGAAGAACTGGAACTAGGGGGATGTAAATAACTAGCCCAAGGTCACCCAGCAGGGAGGTGGTAGGGCCAGGATTCAAACGCAGGCCGTCTGACCAGAGAGCCGATGTGCTTATCCTATGCGCTGAATTTCCCGAGGACACAGATGGAACGGGCAGAGCCAGGACTCCCCGCCAGCCGCGCATGCCACGCTCCTTCCACTCTAGCATCTGGCTCCCTGGAGGAGGCCAGGCGAGAGGATGCGGGCATGTGATGCCCAGGAGGGTCCTGGGACTGCGCGCCCGGGCTGAAGAGCCTCATAGCCGGACTGGCCGTGGGGGCTGTGACCGCCGGGCTCACCTCTTGGCTGGGCACCAAGCGCTAGAGAGCAGTGGGTCTAGGATGAGCAGCTCTCCTTCTAGCTCTGGCTACCCCACGTTCTAGCTTTAGGCAGATCCCATACTGAACCTGAGCCTTGGGGTTTTCCTTTGGAAAATGGGGAAACGTAAGACCTCATAGGTTGCTTTTCCCCCATCAGATCAAATGCAGTAATGAAGCGAAAGAGCCCTCATGGCATAAAAAGGCGCTGATTAGCGACACGGTGATTCCCAGCAATCCAGTCCCAGAAGCTGTGGCCAGAGCCATGTGTCCGATGGTGCAGACCCGCACGCAGTCCCGGGCTGTCGCTGCTGGGGGCGAAGCTGGGCTTCTGCAGGCGCCCTTGTGAGCGAGTTCGAAAGAAGCGTCCCTTGCTTCCTGGGGCAGCTGCACCCGCCCACCCTGCCGTGGTCCCTCCTGAGAGTGAGTGCCTCTGCTTTGCTTGTTCACTGACAGATGTGAGAGCAGAGGGCCGTGTTCAGACGGAACGCCAAGCGTCCGGCATGCCAGGAAGCGGCGGGAAAAGGCCATTGTAAGTGATCTGGGGCCCCGGAGCCCGGAGTGAGTGGGGAAGAGCAGGGGCATCAGGACGTGCCAGGACTTCCTAGACCTGAAGCCCTTTGAGGCTGGCTGTGGCCTGCAGAAGATAATTCCATTTCTCTGACTTCAGAAAGCACCAGGGTCCCCAAAGGGCACCAGAGGTGGCATCGTGCAAAGTGTGGCCTAGGGACTGGCTGTGAGGCACGGAGCCGGTGGTGATTTTAGGGCTGAGCATTGGAGGCTCGACAGGGCCAAGAGGGCAGGCTGTGTGTGTGTGTGTGTGGTGGGGGGGGGGCAGCGGGGAGCAGAGCTGGGCCAACCAGGCCACAGAGCAGCCCTGCTGCCACCTTCTGTGTGACCTTGGGCAGGTCTCCCAGCTTCCCTGAGCCTCAGTTTACTCATCCATACATAAGGGAGTTGGGCCTTGTCCTTCCTAAGGGTCCCCCAGCTTGATCAGGGCTAAGGGATCAGGAGAGCCTGCTCCCTGCTTCCCACTGACCTCCCTCATCCTCCCCCAGAGTTAGTCTCTGGGCCCAGGCTGTGCCAGGAAGCTGCAGAGGAGAGCTGGAACCAGCCCCTCCACGTCACTGGAAGGAAGGGAAGGGAAAGTAAGACGGGGCGCAGACAGACTTGAGCTTGATTGCTTTCCCCCGTGACGGGTGCTCCGGGGCAGGGACGGCGGGGTGGGTCCATGAGGTGTGCACACCCAGAGGTGCACAGCTGTCAGCAAGCAGGTCCTGACCAGCACGGGCTGTGCCTGGAGCGTCTTTCTGGAATGCATGTGTGGCCATTCAGCGGTTGTGACGTGTTTGGCATGAGCGAGACTGACAAGGTTCCCCCCAATTCCTGTGGCTGGGGCAGAAGGGGGAGAAGGGCAGCAGACTCATAAACAAGGAATAATCACTGTAATCAGAGGTGGGGAGGGGCACGGTGGCAGTAATCATGGCAGGCTAAAGTCTCCGAAATCAACAGTCGTGTGTTGACTGTCGGGGAGGATGTGTTCATAGGGCGGTCTGGGAAGGACATCGGCAAGGAGCTAGATGCTGATGGATGAAAGGGGCCACCAGGCAGTTTCAGGAGGACCGTGGGGCCAAAGCAGCAAAGAACCTTACCAGTTGAAGGAGCCGCCAGGAGCCTGGGGGAGGGCGTTCCTTCACTGAGCAGAACCCCGTTCCCCTGCGATTGGCAGTGGAGGCCTACCGTGGCCCCTGGGCCGACCTTCCCTCCCTGTCCTCTGTGAGATGAGAATGGAACGGCTCCAGAATCACTGGCCTGAACCTGTTCCCAGAGAAAGCCTGTCCAAACCAGAACCTGTCGTTTGACCCACTGGAGCACAGGTTTCCAGGAACGCAGCTGGAGTTGACCCAGCGGGTCAAAATAGCTCTTCCAGCAGCAGGGCCTTGAACTGGATCCAGTCACAGATTGGAGAGGAGAGGAGGAGACATTCCAGCCTGGGTTTCTCCCCACCCCTCCCTCTGCTGGGCTGTTCGAGGGACCCAGCTCACCTGATGTGACCTCTTAAGTCACAGTGTCTCCATGCTGGCCTGGCACAGCTGGGGATGATGGTGGCTCCGAGCCCCATGGCCTGCATCCCTTTGCCCTCCTCCCAGCCCACCGTGACCCCCACAATGACCTGGCTCCCCATCCTTGCCCATTACCATCTTGGCAACTTGCCTTTCTACCACAACCTCCCCCACGACCAGAAAAAGTCCCAGGCTCAGAACACAGCTGTGGAAGTAGGCAGTTACATTAATGATGAACCCTTCTCTCGTCTCTGTCCCTTCTCGGCTCCTTTCCTTCAAGCGAGCAGTTGCTTCCTTTGGGAACCATTCCCCATCCGACTCTCGGCGGCCCCTCCGGCAACAAGGCAGGTCTTCTGGGATAGGGATCGTCATCGTCCTCTCTGACTCCAGCCCCAGCTGGTGTCACCCACTCAGCCAGGTGTCATGGGCTGAGGACGAGGACTCCACAGGAGCCCACCATCAAGGGGGTCCCAGGAAGCCAGGCAGTGACTGGGTCTTTCTGTGTTTCCCTTCTTGAGCAGGGCGAAGGCCGTGTGGTGTATGTTCGAAATCTCTCCAGTGACATGAGCTCCCGAGAGCTGAAGCGGCGCTTCGAAGTGTTTGGTGAGATTGTGGAGTGCCAGGTGCTGACGAGAAGCAGGAGGTGAGTCAGGTCAAGCTATTGCAGAAGAGGGGAGCGGGGAGGGGCAGAGGTCCCAGTCCGCGCCTGGCCACACAGAAGATGCCCGAGATGTGCAGAACAAATCTGATGAAACCCGCAGCCTGGACCTGGAGAGCCAGGCCCCAGAGAAGGTCCAGTAACAGTTGTGCGGCCTAGCAGTAAGCTGGTGGTTTGCTAAGTGCCAGGCAATTCCTGTGCGTTCTCTTCAGCCTTCGGGCATGCCTGTGGCCTCTGCGCTCATTCTAGCGCTCTCCCTTTCGGGAGAGCTCAGACCAGTTAAGTGATCAGCTAGTTAGTAGCAGAGCTGAATCTGCAGCCCACATGTCCGCTTCAGGTTCTCTACCTTGGGGCTGGTACAGGGCAGCAGACAACCCCCAGGGGCTTAACTGCACACTTGTACTGGAACGCCGCTGACCTGCAAGACCCCCGCTACTCACATCCCTCCATTCCACTGGACCAGCCAGCTTCAGACCTTTTATTCTGCTGGGTGTCTTGGTTTTTCCTCCCTCACCTGGGGAAGCAGTGTTCATCTGTCAGGGGATCTGCAAGAAGAATGGGTTGTGTGTAAATGCACAACTTAGATGTCAAAACTGTCAGTTTCGAGATAATTCTAAAGTATCTCCCATTGTATTTGCCAACTAGGTTATTGAGGTTTTTAAATTCTAATTTAACGATCATTTTTAAAAGCTTCATTGAGAAAATAGTTTCTATATAGGAATCATTACACACTTCATACCCATTAAGGTGGCTACAGAACATCCCAAGTGTTGACAAGGGTGTGGAGAAATCAGAACCCTCGTGCACGTTGGTGGGAATGCAAACTGGGGCAGCCACCATGGAAACCGGTATGGACGCGCTTCAAAAAATGAAATAGAGAATTACCGTGTGATCCAGCAATCCGCTGCTGGGTATATACTTAAAAGAATCGAAAGCAAGATCTCGAAGAGATACTTGCACGCCCATGTGTATAGGAGCTTTATTCATAATAACCAAGAAGTGGAAACAACCCAAGTGTCCGTTGACTCATGAACAGATAAACAAAATGCAGTCTCTGCATACAGTGGAATATTACTCAGCCTTAGAAAGGAAGGAAATCCTGTCACATGTCTCAAGCATGGATGGACCTTGATAATCATAACCTCATTATGCTCTATGAAATCAGCAGTCTCAGAAGGACAAAGATTGTATGATTCCATTACATGAGTTATCTGGAGTAGTCCAATGCCAGGAAACAGCAAGCAGCAGAGAGAGTGGAGATCCGTTCCCAGCAGCGTGAATATACTGAACACACTACTGAACTTGTTCTAAAGATGGTACATTTTATGTTTTGTGTTTTTTACCACAATTAAAACAAAAAAGTCATTACACAAGCAAACTGTTTTTTAAGTTCTGTGCAGTATTCAGGACATCAAATGGAAAGAGCATGCAAAAACAAAGCGAGCAGTCCTGGACGTTTTGAGAGGTGGAGGGGGCCGACTTTGGCCTGGCTCAGAGAGGAGTCAGGAAATGTGATTCAGCTGAGTGTTAATTAGGCGCCTGGTGTTGGTAAGCCCGTCCTGAGCGGTAGGGGGACTCCACCGTGTCTCTGCCCTGAGGATTCTACATAGCAGAGGGACTAGCAGCCAGGATTCTTTTTCTTGCTATTTGTAGAGCTGAAGAGCTGAGGGAAGAACTGGCTTTAGGAGCCCCTCGCCTCACATCCTTCTCGTGCAGGCTGCCCTCCGACGGCAAAGTGGCTGCCTCCAGCTCTAAGCTTACCTACCTCCTACCGGGGAAAGGAGGGGTCTCCCTCACAGTTCCAGCCAAGAGCTGGGACAGATTCTTTGGGTTTCTGCTTTGGGCAGCAGGCGCATCCTTGGACGGGTCGCTGCGAACACACGGCACCGTTGTCAGAGGAAGGGGAGTGGATGCTGAGCAGGCAGACACAGTGTTGTCTACCACAAAGGACGAGATGTGTACAGAACACCAGCTATATTAGGGAAGGGGGAGGCCACATTAGCAGCCAAGGAAGTGGTGGCCGAGGCTGGCTTCGAAGGAGGCAGGAGGGCTAGAGTGGGGGTAGAGGTGTGGCAAATAAGCTTTCTTGCTGGGAGGCCTGAGTTTGAATACCCTGCCCTACCACTTGCCTTTGGGGCAAATTCTGAGCTCCGCAGAGCCGGTTTCCTCATCCCTGATGGGGAGCAAGTAGAGGCACGTGGCAGACGTTCTGTGAAATCACCTGCTCTTACTATTATTACACAGTAGAGGCCGGCCTAGCGATGGCCATCATCTGTATTTGGGGGGCCATGCGACATGGTTACTGAATCAGTGTGGCTCTCCGCTCATTATCTCATCATGGGTGGTCTGAGAGTGTCGACCAAGCTGGCTCAGTAACGTGCTCCCCCTGACCTCTCCCCACAGAGGCGAGAAGTACGGCTTCATCACCTACCGGTGTTCGGAGCATGCTGCCCTGTCTCTGAGGAATGGCGCTGCCCTGCGGAAACGCAACGAACCCTCCTTCCAGCTGAGCTATGGAGGACTCCAGCACCTCTGCTGGCCCAGACACACTGACTATGGTGAGTGCACAAGGCCCCGCCACACTCCAGTGAGACCTAAAGCCCGCTCTGACCCAGCTCTCGCCCTAAAGCTCTAACGTGCCTGCTGGTCAAACTTCGCAGCCTGGAGGCTGCCATCTTGTTTCTCTTTTGGTCTCCGGTCCGTCTTGTCCTGTCTCAAGACTGGTACCAAGAGAGAGATTCGAGGCCCCTGTGGCCTCTTGGAAGGTCCAGTCTTGTGTTCATAGCCAGTTGGCAGAACCATGATTAACTGTCTCTTTTACCTCTCGGGGGCCAGTGGCTGCCCTGCTGCTTTTCGGGGGCATTCCATCGTGGCCCCAACCAACAGGCAGCAGGCAGCCTTGTCTGTCAATGGGCCGCAGCGAAATAATACTGTCAGCACGCCCTCGCCACTGGGGGACGAGTTAGTGAAGAAGGACAAAGACGTACCGTTTAGGAGAGAGGGATCTATAGAGGAGACTCTGACCTGTCTCCGTAGCGCGGGTCCGAGGGTGAGGACACGCAGGAGGGTTCCTGGCCAGGCCGTGTTTCGCCTGGCTGCCCGTCCACGGGGCATCCTAGCTTTGTTGGCCACCTTAGGTGACGTCAGCAGTGGTTTACCAGTGGGCAAGAAGCTCTTAGGGAGACAGCTTTGTAGGATATCGGAGCTAGAAAGGAGCTGTGGGGCACGCTAGTTGGGGCCACCGTGTTCTGGAAACAGGGCAGCCCCAAGCCCTTGACGACGGGGCAGAGGTAATGCTTGCTGTCTAGTGCTCTCTGAGGCCTTGGGCCACACGCGCTCCACGGGGCTGACCCTGGTGGCAGGTTTCCTGATGGTCCGGCCTTTCTGAGTTGCTCACCGCCTTCCCCTCTCCTTGACTCCTCCACCCCCTGCCCAGATTCCAATTCAGAAGAGGCCCTTCCTGCGTCAGTGAAAAACAAGTACGAAGCCATGGATTTTGACAGCTTACTGAAGGAGGCCCAGCAGAGCCTGCATTGATAACAGCCTTAACCTTCGAGGAATACCTCAATACCTCAGACAAGGCCCTTCCAATATGTTTACGTTTTCAAAGAAATTAAGTATACAAGAAGGCGAGAGCACGAGCGCGTGAGAGAACACACGTGAGAGAGAGAGAGAGAGAGACTTGAAACTGCTGTCCTTTTAAAAAAAAATAATCAATGTTTACATTGAACAAAGCTGCTTCCGTCTGTGAGTTTCCATGGTGTTGATGTCCCACTGCCACCATAGCGTCCTCGCTTCCGGCGGGCGGCCCTGGGCGCGCCTCCCGGTGCTGGGCCAGCCCCCGTCCCCTCGCTCCCTGCCCGGCTCCCCTCGTAGACGTGCAGCCGTGTGCACCATAACAGTTCTCGTCCGTAGTATGTGATGATGAAATTGTTACTCGTGAATAGAATCAGGATTATACACTCGTTTTTAATTGAAGAAAAACAAAGTATATCCTTCAAATAATGTATTTATGGCTCAGACGTACTGTGCCTGGGATTATTGTATCGCTTCCTTGAGTTTTTAACTATGCACTGTCGTGAGGTGTTTGCCACTGAGTTGCCGTGCTCCCTGGGCCAGGGCGCCCTAGAGGTGCTGGGTGGCTGGCGGGTTGGTCCCCAGGGGAGCGCGGGCTGCAGCCACAAGTCAGAGCAGTGGAGAAAGGCTTCTGGGACTCGCCTGCCAAGCTCTGCCCTGTCTCTCACTGAGCACGTATGGGTCCAGTTCCAGTTGGAACCCTCACCTGGTGCCAGCCGGTGCTCGGAGCTTGGACCTGGCCTGGAGTGCTCGGATCCTGGCAGAGCCTGTAAGGAAGGTGGGGTGAGCCGCCTGATTCTTGTTTTCCCAGGCGAGGTGGGCAGTGCCCCAAGAGGGGATGTGACTTGCCCGAGGTCCCATGGCCAGTGACGGGGCGGAGCAGTGACCCAGCCCAGGCCTCCTGATTCCTGGTCCCATGCTCTTGCAATAGCTGGGGTAAAGATGCACAGTTCCAGGGGCCGGTAGAGGTGAGGCCAGCTACGTTGGGCCACAGGCTAGAGGCCTCTGGGCTTACTTGGAGGGTTAAGTCGAAAGCTGGCTCGCCAGCATTAGGCAAGTTTAGGCTCGGGCATGCGTCTTGATCCAGAGGGTTCTGTGGTTTGCCTATACATGTGGACATGCCATCAGAACCTCAGTGACATACCTGGAGTGGCACAGGCAGGTGATCTGGGAGCAGTCATCCTTCCGGGGCCAGCCACCAACCCATTCTCCTCCTACCAGCTTGTCTTGAGGCAGGGGAAGCAGGAGGGGCATGTGGGGGCCGGGGGTGGAGAAGACAATCTCCAAGGTCCTTTCCAACTTAGACAACATTCTAATTGGGCTTTACTTTAAATTTTATGTTCTTGAGTGATGTCAAAACCATGTCCAGCTTAGATGTTCTGCAGGTGCCTTGGGGGGCCATTCGTGAGGGAAAGCATGGCCAGGCAGGGTATGAGCTCGTTACCTCCAACTTCATCTCATTCGTATGTCAGGGTTCCTTGGGAAATTTTTGTATTAAGAAGAAAAGAAAGAGAAAAAGTCCTGCTTGCTTTAAAAACTTTTGAAATTAACTCAGTAAACTCAACAAGCTAATTTAATCTATTGCTCCTGCCAGGCTTAGAACTTTGAGAATTGGTATTTGATCATTATTATTATTTTTAAGCTGATCAGATACCTGAGTAGGTATCCCATGGGCTTGTCCTGGGAGGTGAGCATACTCCAAGCCCACGGAGAAGAAGGCTGGAGGAAGCGGGCTTTAGAAGGAATAGGGAATTTGAGCTCCTGCGTATCAAGTCACTTCCTTCTACCTCCCTGGGCCCCAACTTCCTTTTCTGTGAAATGGACTGAGGGGGAGAAGTAGGCAAGAAGTAGGGACCCTAAGGTCCCTGCCAGCTCTTCTGCAAAGGTGGTCTCTAGCTCAAGATGGCAAATACATGGCTCATGTACCACTATTGCCACATCCTTGGCCAGTGGCAGACATAACTAATCGACCACAGCACTCATGTTCTTTGAGCTTGTGAGTTCTTTTAGAATTCTCAACACAGTGCTCTGGGCAGCTATTACTAATGGATCAGAGTTTAACTAAACCATCTGACATCCTGGTCTGATCTTTGAAAGGTTTCCATCATATAGACCCAAATGGTGGCTGGGTTTCATGCTGGCCCATCCCTGTCTATCATGTCCTGGTCTATGAGAGAAAATTCCCCTAAAGCCATTCATTGGCACAGGACTCCCAATACTGTGACACACAACCCCCACTTGGGTTTGGGGGGGAGCAAGCGGAATAGCGGACATAAAATGTTTGAGGGAGGTGGGGTTTATGAGGATGAACCACAAAAAAGGACTTTTCCACAGCACAGACCTGAACATTGTAAATTCCTTTTACAGCTGTTCACTGCCTAGCACACAGTAGGCACACAATAAATGGTTGTGGAATGCAATAGAATAGAATTTAAATCTGTCTGCTGCCTCCCCTAAGTCCTGATTTGCACCAAGGAGTACACTTAGGGTTCATCCTGTGGAAACCAGTAGGAAGGAACTTGAGATTCAGAGTCTGGAGAGCTGTTGAGTTTTGGCTCCACCAAGAGCTCTGTGACCTTGCGAAGTCACAGAATCCCTCCCCCTCTCCTCTGCTCCAGAAGGAGTTGGACTAGAGGTTCTCTAAGCCCCTCCTACTTGTTTCTTCCTTGGTTTGCCCTAGGTCAGAGATCCTCCCCTGGGCAGGTGGTCCAGGAGGGTAAAGAAAGGCAGATTTTTAGTGGAAGACCAGTCTCCCCCTCCCCTCTTCCTGGGGCAGCTGAGGCTGCCCATCACTTCCCATGGCTGCAGGACACTCGAAGGTCCTCAGATACCGCCCGTTGAGCAGAGCAGAGATGCGAGCATGGCGCTGGGAGGTCCCGTGCCTAAGGTCAGGGCTGGCTGTGGGGGGACTGCTGGCGAAGAGCACCAAGCAGTTTCTGCTTGCCATCCCATCCCTAACAGGCTACAAGGTGGAACACTGACCGAGCCTGCAGACAACCTCTATCCGGAAGACTCATTCGGTGCTGTGTATCACTAACCGAGGAGACTCCACGGTCTCTCCAGGGAAGCTAGTCCACCTTGGTCCCTCGCCCACCACATTGAGGAGTAACCCAGAGGGAGCAGCTGCTGCTAGCGACCATGTCATTGTAGCTCTGTCCCAGTGTGTGCTCTGGACGATGTTTACGTGTGATGCCCTAAAAGCTGGCAGTAGACTCTCTTGACGGCCGCCCACGCCGGGCACGTTGTGCTGTCTGTCTGTGTGCCGGGCTGGCGTTTCCAGAAATGTCCGGTCCAACCGCTAAGTGGAATTCTTCATCTCCTTCCTCAGTCGGTACCAGGCTGAATCAGAATCCTCAGTCTTGGGGGTTCTGGTTACCGAAGGAAAATGCATCAAAGAGGTAAAGAACATGAGTGGATGGAGTGCAGAGAAGGCCCCCACCCGCCCCCGCGTAGCCCATCACACCTTGCTTCCAAGTGTTGAGTCAAAGAGCCACCGAGCAGGTGTCCACATCTGCAGCGGGGCCTTGCAGTGTGGCGTGCTGACCGTGTTGGGGGGCGGGGGGGGGGGCGAGGCAGGGCTTGGGGGCAGGAGGAAGAAGGGAGGAGAGCTCTGAGCTGCAGACACTCAGTACCCAAGTCCTGGTGTGGGGAGAGACGCACTAAGAAGGCTGGCATTGCATAGAGCCTGTGCTGGGGCAAGTTTTGAGAGTGGCTTCTTCTAGGCGTCTGCAGCATGCCCGCCCAGGCCACCGAGCGAGTGGTGGGAGGCGGCGGCAGGGAGAGGGTTGGCATGTGGTCCTTCTGCAGGGACAGGGGAGAACCTCACCCCAGGCCTTGGGCTGCGCTGAAATCACAGCTGAGCCTTCAGCTTGAGAGAGGGGCCGTCCCAGCCGCAAAGCAGAACCAGCCCCGGACGGCGGGTTGATCTGACTCCCTGACATCAAAACTGCAGTCTTTTTCTTACCGTCTGAGAGGTGTCAGTTACCCTCAGATAGGACTAAGGGAGGAAATGGGATGTACAGTAGCAAATACGGTGAACCTCATGGTTTCGTTGGCCAAAGAAGAGGGACCCCCTCGTCCCTTCCCACCGAGGCAGGAGTTGGTGCAGTGTTTAAGCTGGCCGCCAGGTCCCGGGGGGTATTTGCCCACAGAGGTGGGCTCCAGGGCTGTGCGCAGAGTCCGGAGGTACAGGGTAAATGGAGGGAGAGCTCGGGGGCTGGGAAACCTACAGAAATGCCCTTGGCTGGGTGGGGGGAGGACCCCCGGGAGCCGGCTGCAGGATATCAGGAAGTAGACAGAGCCTGCCTTCGCACTGAACCAATAAAAGCACTTTGAGAAAACCACAACACTTCAGCCTGGCTCCATGTTTCTACGCTGGCAAATGTGGGTCTCCGGCTGTGTGAGGGACTCTCCTAGGGATTGGGCTGGAGTCGGGAGGGGGGCTGGTCGGCGGGGGGGGGATCGAGATTCCCTTCCTAAATAGTGGCAGAGCCGATCCTAGGGCCAGCCCTTTGCTGGCCCTTTTGTTGGAGGCCCTAGAGAAAGGGAACAGTGAGTTTAGATCTTGGTGCCTCTTTTTACGTATGTTTGAAAAGCTAAAACTGTCGGAAATGGGTTTACAGAGCAAGTCACCCAACTATAAGCCATCTCAGTGAGAAGCCTGATGTTTCTCACTTGCTGTGTGATCTGGGGCCTCTCTGTTCCCTTCACTAATGAAGGAGAGCATTGGACAGAATGAGCACCAAGGTCCCTTTCGACCCTGTTAGGCTCAGGTTCCCACCCGGGAGCATCGGGAATCGGTCACTCACCTGTGAAACCAATCTCACCCTCTGGCTGCGCCCAGCTCGAGTCCCGGGTGAGAGATCTCTGCAGGGCCACCAACCAGCAGTGGATTCAAACCCACCTGGTCCTGGCCCAGTTCCCTTATATGAGGCCAGCTCCCCGGGACAGATCAAAGCCATAGTTTCTCACGGGGATGGTGAGAAGTTCGACCCCAGCTTGGCTAGGTGGCGGTCTCGAATCTCACATTAGCCTTGTCATTGTCCCCACCGAGCAGCTTTTAATCCGACCGTTGTGACCGCTTGGCTGTTTCTCTCTTGCTCTCAGACGATACTAGCAATACACTTGTTTTTGTTTTTTGTTTTTTTCAAAACAGCTTAACTTAGGCACTTTTCACACATTTCCTTCAAGTGATTGTAAAACCTCTGGGGCAACGGGAGGCATTGATCACACTGCATGTGTTTAGGGCAGCTTTTGCTTTTTGTTTCTTTAATAATCCAGCAGTGGTGGCTGAGGCTTCGAGGTCTTGGGGGACAGGTTTTCAGATATTCCGGTTCTTCCGATACCTTGCATACCGGAAGCCGCACAGAAATCCACGTCCCCGAACCGGAGGCTTGGAGAATATGGTTTTGTAGGTGGTCCGTCCCTGGGCAGAGCAACACCTCAAAGACGTGTTTCTATGGTTAAACCCCCTCTGTGCTGTATGTTTTGTCAAAGGATCCTGCAAGGAAGCCTAACAGAGCCTCCTTTCCCACTTGGCCAGCCTTGCTCACGGCTGACTTGTGAAGGGATTGGTCAGCTTCCACCTCGGCCCTTTGCCTTATCAACGTCTGGTCGCCCTCTAGTGGCCAAAGACTGTATCCACCAGCTACCCGGATGGAAGGCAAATAAATCCTTTCGGCCACCTTGCTGTCCAACACCAATTCGGGGAATTAAATGTAACGGCCTGAGTGAACTGTCTATGTGTTTAGAACCCAGTGTAACACCAGTCAGAAGACTCCAGAAGCAACCACTTAGTAGACTGAGAAGCACACTATAGTTATTCTTTGGGCAGAGGAGACAGGAGTGGACCCTGTGTCCAGGTGCCCGGGAGGGGTTTACTCTAACTGCAATACCAGCAGCCCAGCTGCTGACCTTGTTAAGTGAACCTCTGCAAGGTGGCCCGCACTGTACCCTCGGGGCGAGCAAAGAGGTTGGGTGTGAGGATTCGGGAGCGGTGGGGGGGGGGGGTGCTGGGGGGGCCTGGCCGTGGCCTTTGGTATGGTCCACTGAATAGCCAAACAGGTCTTTTGGTTTGTTTTTGTATTTTGTATTTAAAAATTCTTGTCAAGTGTTTTTGTGTTAGGAATAAAAAGTCATAAACAATTCCCAACTTTGTTCCTTGAGGGGTGTTCTGATTCCGACGGAAACAGGTTGGCGATCTCAAGGGGTGTGTGGTCAGGGCGGTCAGTGGGACAGGGAGGCGGACCACCCGCATTTCCAGATGGTCTCTGGGGAAGATGACCGTCCAGAAGTCTGGCTCCGTGCAGTCTGCTCTGGAAATTCACCCCCACCTCCTCGTGCCACGGTGTTAATATTGGCTTGGAGGGTCTGCTTCCTCCAGAGGCGGCTGCAGAGGGTGAAACCGACACAAGATCCCTCTCCCCAACCCCAGGTTTCTAAAGAGACGGTGTCTGTGGCTAGCCTTAATCGACTGGGCGAGGGGGTCCCTATGGTCCCTTCCAGCGTTTCCAAATCTTGGACTCAAATCCTTTTCTCTTGGTGTGACCATGCAGCCTAGAGAATTCTGAGCAATAGGGAGCCGGGGCTGTCCCCGGCTCTGTGACAGGGTCAAACCAGGGAGTGGCTGAACTTGTCAGGTTTGGGCATCCCCAGGGGTACTACTGTAGGGGGCATTATCTATTGGGAAGCTCAACAAGGTAACTACAGCCTGGGGTGCGTGAGCGCAAGGCTGTGTGTGTGTGTGTGTGTGTGCCCGCGCACGCCTGTGTTTGTGCGTGTGGACTTACATTGATGCATTTCTTGAGAAAGGTGCAAGAATTTCACCTACACAGAGGGACACATCTGCTTTGTTATTTATAATAGAAAAGCTAAATTTTAATTTTTTAAAGGACACTGCTAATGATTGAGAATCGAGTTTTTAGTTTTGCTATTTTTTTTAATTGGTAGAGGATTTTTATATATTTTTTCCATTTTGTTGGGTTGTGTCCTTATTTATATAAATACTTTATCTGTAAGAGGCAAGGAAGACACCTTCTTTGCTTTTAATTATTGTGGTTGTCATCGTCCCTATTTTATTTCCGGTGTGATTTATCTGTCTTACCTTCTAAATGAGAAACCGTTTTCCTGTATTTGTACATTGTCAGATTCTATAGTTTCATAGGTAATTTAACCAAATTGCTCTATGTATTATTATTCTGTGAGTATAAAGTTCTATTTTAACGTCTGTAAATACTTCAGAACTGGCTTCTTTCCTCAGACTCCCACTGTGGGGTTATTGTTTACATCACAAAAACTGTAGAATCTCTATGCTCATGTACTGTAAATAGTGAAGTGATCTGCTTATACATAAACTTAACAAATACACTATGGAGATTAAAAAAGAAAATACCACCCACAGCCCCATCTAGGTGTGACTTTATTTGTCGGCGTGCTTGCTGTGAGGGACACCCCGCCTGCTAAGTGGGAAAAGGATTCTGGTTTCGGGGTCACTTTCCCGGAGAAGAGCCTGGTCAAGGTGGGCCCCGCAGCCGCCCCACCCCCAGCCCTCTAAGCTGTCACATTGTCACATTGCATGGCGACGGTGATCGTGAACCAGTCACACTCAGCCTCCCCCAACAGCCATTCCGTGACCAGCTTTTCGCCATGACTTTTCGAAAGTTCTCCCGCTTTCTGCACAAGGACTTCTTTGTCTGGCTACAGCTCCTTTTTCACACGAGCACACTAAATAAACATGCGGAAAGCGATATTTTGACATGTTTTTAAGCAAAAACACCAACTGACAACTGCAAAACAGTTTCTGGTCCAAAAAAAAAAACCCACAGACACACAGAAAAAACCGTTTCTGGCCAGAGGATCTGAAGAGCAGACTTGAGCTGTGTGCTGCATGTGGGTGACTTTGAACGGTTTTCCTTTGCTCACTTAGCTGCAGCGGGAGCAGTGAAGACATGACTCTCTGTCTTGGACATGTGTGTCATTTCCTTGGTTTCAAGCTCTCACGGATTTAGCCTGTATTTTGCCTTAAAGCTGCTTTAGCTTTATTTTCTAGGTGCAGTTGGAGTGCAAGAGCCCCATGGATTCCCCATGTGCCCCCAGAGGGTGGAAACATTGGTGAAGAAAATCATAGATCCACGAGAACAAGTAAAATAAGCCGTTCTATTTTATGTTCTGTGCAAGCTATTTCCAAGTTGTTGATTTCCTATGTAAACTAGCTCTCGTTTTCAGATGATTTATTTTCGCAGTCTGGAAACGGTTTGGATTTCTGCAGTTGGAGAGAAGCCCATCATGATATTTCCTGTACAGATGAATGGGGATGTTTCCGCTGTGCAGCGGGGTACTGTGACTTGAGTTGGTCTTTAGCGAGGTTATCCATGGGACTGATCACTCAGTATCTGTCGCCCCCTTGCTTGATGGTAAAGTCCAGGAAAGCAGGGCTGCTTCTCTATTCATGGCAGGGTGCCCAGCCCAATTGCTCAGGAATTCCTGAATGGACGAGTGAATGGATCCTATCCATGGCCTGATGACACAGCTAGGGAGGCAGCCAAGCCATGGAGTCACAGAAATCCCTTCAAAGATGCACTCAATGGTGTGGGAGATGTAGAGGCTCAAGACCTGTGTTTGAGACCCAACTCTGCCACTTCTGTATTGTGCAAACTTGCACAAGCCACCCCTTCGGCCCCTGGTTTCCCCGAGTATGAAACAAAATGATCTGCTTAGATGAACTCAGAGGTCCCTTATGTTCTAAAAAGGCTGATTCTCAGAAGCAGTATGGTGCAGGGAAAATGGTTACAAGCCAGGAGTCTGGTGCCAGGCTGTTTGGCTTTGAGTCTTGACTCCACCACTTACCAGCTGGGTGTCCTCGGGCAGGTTTCTTAACCTCTCTGAGTCTCATCCTCATGTGATAAATGAGGCTAAGTGATAGTTTCTAACCCGTAGGGTCGTGAGGGTGAAATTAGGTCGTGAACAGTACCTAGGACATCATAGGAGGTGTTAATCAACAGAAGCTGCTATCCTCATGCACCGTCTCATTGGTGCTAACCATAGCCCTGTGAGAGGCATGGCGGGGACTGGGACTCTCATGTGACAGATGGGGAAGGCTGAGGACTGGGGAGAGCAGAGGCAACCTGCCCAAGGAATGGAGCCAGGACCAGCATCTGTATGTTCCTGAGTGACACCTCTCCTCTTTACCCTGCCACTTAACCACTAAATGTGGCGTGCTTGGGGACATGTCGCTGTTGAAACGCTCTGAGGGTGTCAATTTCGGGAGAGTTAAAAGATGAGGGTTCCAGACCCAGCTCCCTAGTGACATCCCGACCTGCGAACGTGGGCAAGGCTCCTGCGCCAGGAGCCAGGAGTGATCCGCTATGGCAGTCACAGGGCCATGTGCTCTGTTCTCTGCGACTCGGGGCATCTGGAGGGAAGCGAGGGAACAGTGCCACGAACTTGGCTCAGCTCATGCCTTCACTGGCCTTCATTCCTCATTTATGTAAAAAGGGAGGTTGGAGGAGATCCCTGGTTTACACAGAGTTTGGAGAAACCCTCTGGTTCCCTCCTCCAAGCAAATGCTTTAATACGTTAGCCGCTGCTTTAATACATTCTCTCTGGGAGGAAGAGAAGTTCTAGAGCTATCGTCCACCTTGAGAACCAGGGACAGCGGAGCATGAGGCGAACAGGTAAATTCAGACTATGGGACAACTGACAGTGTTTCTGCAACAAGTCATTGGCAAAGGAAAAAGTGGAAGGAGCGCTTTTGTAGATTAAAAGAGGCTTAAGAGACATAACAGTTAAAGTGTGAAACTCCTTTGGATCAGAGTCAAGCAAACCAACTAATTAGGACACTTTTGCAACATTGGGGGCAAGGCGACAAAGGATAGGCTGGGCTCCCCAGAAGGCAGCTGGGCTCCCCAGAAGGCAGCCTCTGCAGTGGTCTTGGTCTGCAAGGTGCTTATTAAGGAATGCCCATAGGACCAACACCTGCGGAAGGGAAGGGAGTAGGAATGGGCAGAGGGAGAAGCTGAGCTGTGATGGAGCTCCAGTGGCAGCCTTGGTGATCCCAGCAGGAATCCTGGAGCTAGAAGGGCCCTTTGGAGTTGTCCCATGAGGGGCCAAGGTGGCTGCGCCTTAACAGGCATGGGTCCATCGTTGTGTGTAGGCCATCCTGGGAAAGGGCGTGACCTTGGACAAAGTGTCTCCTTGCAGCTGAGGTCATGTCTGTGGGACAGCACTGAGAGCAGCAGGGACAGCAGGTCCTTTACTCTTCAGGAAAGTGTCTGTGCAGCTCATCACGGCCTCTACCACAACTGGATGTGAGGTGTTCATTTGCTGCATGTGATAATAATGTGGTTATATTAGAAAACACCCAGATGTTTTTAAAGACGTGTAATGGAGGAGTGAAATGGTATGTCTGAAAGGTGCTTGTAAATACTTCAGCTAAAGAGCCTGGGTGGCTCCTTTGGGGAAGAGCATACAACTCTTGATCTCGGGGTTGTGAGTTCGAGCCCCATGTTGGGTGTAGAGATTACTTCAATCAATAAATACACTTTTAAAAAAAAGAAAAAAGACCATCAATTTAATAAAGAAAATACTTCAGCTAAGAGAAAAAAATGCAAAAGAAATGTAAAAGGATGGATGAGCAAATGTGGCAAAATCTTGATATTGGAATCTGGGTGATGAGGAAGGAGGGAGGGATTCGTTGTACAATTCTCTACTTTTGAGGATGCTTGACAATTGTTAAAAGAAAACAAACAATGAAAGTATAAGAACAAAAATGATTCTAAGCAAGCAGGTGAATCTGGCCTTAATGAAATGTTTAATTGATATCTATGCAAGCTAGAATGTTGGTTTTAGCTCAGTAAAATACTCAAAACAAAAAATGTTTGAACACCACTAGATAGGATGTAAGCTAAACTCTCTTTCAGCTTTCAAATCCTATTACTCTTTTACTTCTCAGGCAGGCTTTTGGTTTTCTGCTGGCTTGGGTAGTCTCTTTCCACGAAGGGTGGTGCCATTCCGTTCAGCGGATGCTGGTCAGCATTACTGGATGCAACAGGACTTGGATGCAGGGGCGCCCCCTGCTTGGCCGGAGCTGCCCCCCGGCTGATTTCCTGCTGCTCCTGCAATCAGACAGAAAGAGGACCCACTAGGTGAGAGGAGGCTACCATGCACTTCCCCTTTGCCCCAGTTTAGATCAAGAGTTGCAAACTCAGGGGCTTTCCACGGCTGACAGATAATCACACATGTAGAAGGCAAGCCAAGAGAAACCAAGAATGGGAAATAGGATAAGAATAAGGAAAAGAGTGGCACAATCATGATGATAAATGGCAACCAGCACTTGTCACCACTGTCTGAGAGACAACAGGGAGTGGTGGAGACTGGGGCAAACTGGAGAGATCCCCTGTCCTGTCTAAAGGGGGCAGTTAAAAGGTGAAAGCCACTCAGCTCCAGCTCACTGTTGTCCTATAAAAATGCAGACTGATGTGGCTGAATACTGATCTTTTATTTTATTTATTTATTTAAATGTTATTTGTTTGTCAGAGAGAGAGAACACAAGCAGGGGAAGCAGCAGGCAGAGGGAGAAGAAGACTCCCTGCTAAGTGGGGAACCTGATGTGGTGGGGCTCGATCCCCGGACCCTAGGATCATGACCTGAGCTAAAAGCAGACACTTAACTGACTGAGCCACCCAAGCATCCCGAATTCTGACCTTTGAAAAAAGAAATGCTGGAGATCTGGATTTTTAAAATCTGAAATATCCCAATTTTAAAACATGGACAGCAAATTCACATAAAGAGAATGCAGGCCAAACAAAACATATCTGCAGGCTACACGTTTGCACAGACCTGCCACTAGCCCCAAAGACAATTTGCAAATTAGAAAAAGATTCATCTTCCTCAGGACACTTTACTGCCATTTCTGGAAAACTGTAATAACCATACAAAGCTATGATGACTAGGGGCGCCTGGGTAGCGCAGTCGGTTAAGCCTCTGACTCTTGGTATAGGGCTCAGGTCGTGATCTCAGGAACATGAGATTGAGCCCCACATTGGGCTCCACGCTCAGCGAGGAGTCTGCTTGGGATTCTCTCACCCCCTTTCCCTCTGCCCCTCCCCCTGCTTGCACTCTCTCTCTCCCTCTCTTTAAAATAAAATAAGTAAATCTTAAAAAAAAAACCAAAAACAAAAAATGAAAAAACCCAAATCTTTGGTGAGTATCATGCACGGGACACCTCCTGGAGCTTTGCAAAAAGCAGCCCTTGTGAAATACAAACGGTAGCCCCACGTTTGCAGCCACTGGTTTAGAATCTCCCCGTGATGCCAGAGCCGAGCTGGAGCCATGACGGGGTCCATGATAAGAACACGGGTAGAGGGGCAGGTGTGCAGAGGTGGATTTAAAAATCCAGTCTGAGTGGGGTCTGGACTGTGAGGGAACTGGGCTCACACAGCCCGCAAAAGAGATGACCCGAGGGAGGGAGAGTGTGCTGTGAATCGGGAAGAGCTGGAGCAAACAAATCGCATCTGATTCCTGAAGGCGGGACTATGGCCGCTAGGTGGACATTTCAACAAGGAGAACCGCAGCTCAGGGAAGAGCCTTCTAATAGTGGTACTGAAAGAGGATGTCATGTACGGTAGTGAGCCCCCCGTCACTGGTAGTGTGCAAGCAAAGGCTCACAATGGTATCGCGAGCATTCAAACACCAGACAGAAGGCCAGAAACACAGCCCCTCAAATTCCTTCAGCCTGTAATTCTAGGTTTGCTCCTTGGCCCCTGCGTAGGGCCCTATGTGCCCAGCCTTGGAATTGGAATCTGTCCTGCATCGGCTGGCGGACAGTCGGGAATCCTAACTGGGAGGCTCAGTCCTGGGAACGAGGCTCTTCCACTGACTGTGCCTTGGCCACAGTACTTCCTCTCAGTGAGCCTCAGCACGCCGCCGTGTGCAGAATGAGGGCACTAACGGGCTGGGGAGGCCTGCGTGGGACCACACGGCTGGGAGCTCTGAGACCAGGCCAGGCACGCTGTGAGTGCTCCGTGTGTCCACACACCTTGCTTGGCTGCCTTTTGCTTTTGCTTCTCCTCCTCCAGGGTCTTCATCTTAGCATCGTATTCATCGGCGAGCGTCTTCCACTCCTTGCGGTTGTTGGTGATCCCATCCAGCATGGGAGTGATCTCCTCGTGGAAGCGGGAGAATTCCTGGAAGAGAGAGAGCCTCTGGCACAGGGGCCACACCCCAGGGTCCAGTGCAGGGGAGAGGCTGGGCTGAGCACGCCCACCACAGGAACAAGCTGCCTGGGGTGGCGGGCTTCCCGTCCCCCAGTGGTCTGCGTGCCGATGCTGTGGGGCCTGCAGTCAGCAAGAGCCCATCCATCCCTCTCTTGCTTAAAACCCTCCTGTGGCAGCCCCTTGTCCTTCAGGACGAAGTGCAAACTTCTTCACACAGCTTCCGAACCCCTCCAGGACTGCTGCCCTCGCCCCTTGACTATTTTGAACCCTCTGGGTAAGTAGAGTCCTCTACTAGAAGCTTGCAAAGCCTCTCTTCCACCTCTCACTTCATCGTAATGACTCCCTTTGCCTGTGTCCCCCAGGGGCTGTGGCCTTGGAGAGGGCAGGGACAGCGGCGCCTTGTTCACAGAGGTGGCCCTGGCGCAGCACAGGGTCTGGGGCATAAAGACACCAGGAAACACTTGCTGAGAGAAACTGGGGTTTGTGAAGGGGATTCTTAAGGCCCCTTAACTCCAAGAATAAAAATAATGCCTTGGAGCATAGCACGTGAGAGTTTATGAAGCGCTTTCTCGCCTTTGATCTCCAGAAACTCCTGGGAGGTGGGAAAACAGGATGCCTCCCTCCTAGATTTTCAGGGGAGGAAATCAAGATGCAGGTTGATGGAGTTGATTGGCTCAAGGTGAGAACGGCAAATCCAGGGCCCACTGCGGAGTTCCAGCCAGAGCCAGCTGTGCTCAGAGCTCCTGGGTTTGGATCCAGCTATGCCACAAGCTGTGTAACCGTGGGGCGGTGACCTACAGAGCTCAGCGTCAGCCATAAAGTCAGGACACTACTGTACCTACCTCACAGGGCTGTGATAGCGCATGCAGGGCGTTCAGCCTCGCCTACCTGGTTTCATAATCTTGCTGATGATAGTGGGGAGCACGGTTACACTGCCCTGTTGCTCTGAGGACCCCAGTTAGCCAAGGTATAACAGAGAAGCACTTGTCCTCCCCAGCACAGCAGAGCCTGGGACTAGGGATCAGGTGCCCTGGCTCTAGTCCTGGCTCAGGGCTGACTCCGGCGATGCTGGCCCTGTCATTTCTTATGTCTGGCCTCTGCCTCCTCAGGTTACACATGACCAAAATAAAAATAACAAACGGGAGGTAGATGGTGGCACAAATCACACGGAGTTGGGAGTAGTGAGTTTTCAGTGGGTTTTCTCCAAGCAAGAGCTCAAAGAAATTCCAGACGATCTTTTGACAACTGGTTTACCTTGACCTATCACATTTCCACCAGCAAGGGAAGTTAGGAGGGTGTGTGTCTGATACGCCTCCCCCTTTCCTGTCTGAAACCACATGTAGTCATCTGTCCCTATGGCGTTGAGCAAGTAGAGTGGGTGAAGCTCCAGGCTCTGGCCTGGGTAGATAATCACTCAGGACCCCATCGGGCTGGACTGAGGACCAAATGCCAATGCAGATGAGAAGCTCTTTGTAAACACCCACCGGTCACTTGCCAGGGTTTATGATTCCTGATGGTGTTTGGGAATTCCTGGGTTTAACAAAGACACCTCGTTGGCCTGAGAAAGCCAAGGACCTACCTTGTAGACAAAGGTGCAAACAAAGTCAATGAAGCCGACCTGAAGCTTGGGGAGTTCATCCGCCTTGTTTCTGTCCATCATGGGCTGTCATGGAGGAGAAAAGGTTAACTGTACTGGGCTCCTCCTGGCATGATGCATTAAAAGGGACCCACCCTACCTAGGAAGCTTTCTTGTTCAAAACAAAACAAAACAAAAAACCCAACTAAACCTGAACTCATCAAGTTTCCAGATCTGACTAGCGGTTTGCAGGAAATAGGGGGATAAAGGAACATATTAAATAACACCATGAGAGTGCAATCAACCCAGTCCAGACTGTGGGAAACTACACAACAGAAGACCCACGGTCTTCAACAAGCAAACACATGGCAAATAAAAAGAAAAAAACAAAAACAAGGAGAAAATCTGCTCTGTCTTGAAAGAGACTCAAGAGACAGGACAACCAGAGGGAGTGTGGTCTGTGACTGGATCCTGATTCGAAAAAATCAAACCTAACTATTTTTCTCACTCAATCAGGGAAAATGAACAGAGATTAGATGATAATACAGCATTATTTCTAATTTTGTGAGCGTCACAATGGTATTGGGGTGTGTGCGTGCCTGCGCGCCCCACGTGTTTTTCTTATCTCTTAGAGACCCGCACTAAAGTCTTTATGGAAAAAATGATAACATCTGGAATTTACTTTAAAATACTTCAACCAAAAGATAAGAAAATGCCTGAGGGTGGAGGGATAGATAAAACAAGAATGGCTGTCTCTAGTGGTGGTGGTTGAACCTGGCTGATGGGTCTCTGGAGTTCATTCACTAGACCCTCTACGTGTTAAAATGCAGAGAAGAAAGAAGAGAGATCCAAATCCATGGCCCAATGCTACTCAGGTCGGGACGCTCCCTGCTCAGTTGCACTTGGCTCACACCCCCCCCCACTGCCTGTGCTCTCCCTTCGGCCCTGCCCAAGCCTCACGTGGGTGCCCCCGCATCCTCAGCACTGCCCCAGGCTTCACCCATCCCCATCTCCATCAGTGGCTCTGTCCTCACAATGTCGCTCCCTCCTACCCTGCCTCTGCTTCCCAGCCCTGCCCTTGCTCAAGGCCTTAGTGAACCTCTCACTGGGCTCTTCGTCGCAGTGACTGTCCTAGCCAAGCCTACTTTCAGTGTTGATGGGTGCTCAGCTTGCCAAGGTCTTCCCCTTGTACGCTCTGTACTGTTAACACAGGGCCTGGGGAGGTGGCCTCCTAGACTGTTGGAACCGGGAGGAAATCTGTTTTGGGGTCCCCTTGTCCATCTCTACTTAGCTGAGGGAGTCAAGGATACGTACCCAAACTTGAGGAGGGCTTATGATTTAGGACGGCACACATTTGCCGAGCCCACTTCCAGAGTTGCTGCTTAGGTGGGTCTAGGATGGGGCCTGTGAATTCTCATCTCTAATGTGTTCCCAAGTAATGAGGTTGATGGTGGTCTGGGGACCATACTTTGAGAACCAGTGCATTAGGAAAAGGTCATCTCTACGGTAAGATCACACATGCCTATGTCAGGGGGAACATCTGTCTATCAGGATAAGAGCATACACACTCAACATCGGGCTGACGTCCCCCCCAACCCCTACTCACGATGGGGTTCTGTTGCAGTACACTGCGCTCAAGGTCACCTTGTTCCCAGAATTCGGCGGCAACCAGCAGAGCTACCTGCAGTAGGCAGATCCCGCCCCCCGCCGACAAAGTCAAGCCCCAGCCCAGATCCTCCTACCCCTGCTCCCACCCTTCCTAGGTTTCCAGCTCAGCGAAACTTAACCCCCACCCCTGCCTCGCCGCCCCCTTTGTCGTCATCACTGGAGAGGCACTAAAGTGGCTTCCGTGTCTTGGCGGATGAGGCGAAGGTGGGCTGCTTCTGGAACTGGGAGTCCAAGCCACATCGGCTGCTGTCATGATGCCGGGACTCCCCTCCTCTCAGGTCAGGAGGGCTCCATACCTTACTCTGCACCTCCCAGGGCTTGGTGATGGCCGAGAGATCACAGGCGGTCATCATCATGGCCCTGCACACAAGGACACCATCCATCAGCCCAGAGCTAATTAAGGCTGCAGGTGCTGGTTAATTCCAACTTTCTGTCCTTTCTCTGCACCACATTGCAAGGACGGGGTCACTGCTGCATTGCATCTGGAGGTCGGGCTTTGAAGCCAGACAGAGGTTAAAATCCTGCCTCTGTCAATTACCAGCGGATTGGCATGGGGCAATTAAACCAACCTCTGTAAGCCTCAGTTTCCTTATTTGTAATAATAACGGTACTTTCCTCATAAAATGGGTGCAAGATTAGATGAGATAAGGTGTATAAAAAATCTTAGCAGAGGGCCCGGACATAGTATGTGCACAATAAATACTGGCGAGAATCGTGAACATTTATTGGGTTTTTCTTACGTGACACGCACTGTTCTAGGTACTTTGAAACATCGATTTCATTTCAATCTCAGCACCTCTTCAGAGTTCTTTGTCTCCTGTCTAGTGGAGACCAGTGTTTCTCAAGCTTTATCTCATCATCCTCCACCTTCCACATCAAACAGCCTCTATACACATTTTTTCTGTAATCACTCCACCATGAAATCTTAATACCATAGACACACTGTGCATCTGTTTGGAGGGCCACAGGTCACCTTAACACCGAAGGCTTTTTTTTATTTTTTAAAGATTTTATTTATTTATTTGACAGAGAGAGACACAGTGAGAGAGGGAACACAGCAGGGGGAGTGGGAGAGGGAGAAGCAGGCTTCCCGCTGAGCAGGCAGCCCGATGCGGGGCTCGTCCCAGGACCCTGGGACCATGACCTGAGCTGAAGGCAGATGCTTAACGACTGAGCCACCGAGGCGCCCCTACCTAAGGCTTTTTGCTTCACCTCCAGGAACTGCTTTTTGCCCGGGGTGGGCAGTGATAGCACCCCCATTAAAAATGCATGGTATAAGAAGTACCACGTCAGTCATTTCAGGAAGCCTTGCATGAAGAAGTAGAGGGAGGGATTGGGGAGAGAAAGAATGGAAAGATAAACTCTTAAAGCAGTTTCACAATAATAGGAAGAAGGTAAGACAGGTATTATTACCTAGGTAGGTAGAGTAGAAGACAGAGAAGGAGGGGACAGAGACAAAGAACTGGAGGAAGGGGGGATTTGGAGAGGGTGTTTCAGAGCTGGGGGCACAGCAGCATGCACATACGGGGTGGGGATCCAGGCTCGTGTGGTGTGGACATTGCTGGGAAATGGAAACTGTATCCGAGAAGCAGTGGAGAGCTATTGAAGGTCAAGGACGTGGTCATGACCTATTTCAAGCTGTGCTGCAGGAAAGCAGGCTGGCAGCACCTGGAGGATGGTGCAGAATGGAGGGCGTGGGGAGGAAGGAGAGGATTTGCTGCGGTGATTCCGGGGAGGGCAGCAGGGCCTGACCTGCCGCTGTGTCTGCTTGTCAAGCCGCCTTGGTGGGCTCCACCTGATTTGGTGAGACTTGGTGAGGCAAGTGGGCAGGGGCTGGGGAGAGGGGCTAGTTGGAGAAGGCTGGGGGTCTTGCTATTTGGATGATTTTACAGTTAACCAGCTGTATCTGGCATAATTTATATAAGCTGGTCTGGGAAGCCTTCAGAATTACTCATGGAACAAACTGGTGGTCGCCAGAGGAGAGGGGGCTGAGGGAATGTGCAAAAGGGGGGAAGGCGAATGGGGAGCCAGGCTTCTAGTGAGGGATGAATACGTCAGGAGGACGAAAGGCACAGCATAGGGAAGTATTGTCACAGTGTCGGATGGTGACAGACGGGAGCTACGCTTGTGGGGAGCACAGCATGACCTACAGAATGGTCCAATCACTATGGTGGACACCTGAAACCAATGTAACATTGTGTGTCGACTGCACTTCAGTAAAGAGTTATTCAGGAAACACTAACAGGTTTAGTTATCTCTTATCAAGTTAGCCCTCGAAAATTCGTAGGATTAAGTAAATAAGCTTTCAGAACTGCATACATTTCTTTTGAAACACCTTCATGCTTTGTAATAGCTTCAAAATATGTGCCTCTGCTTCCTCTCAAGTGTCGCAGACCTGCTACCCTCAAATAAACTAAGCAAATGAATGTCTGGCCGTGCACACCGGAGTCCCCGGCTTCCTGTCACCCGGCAGTGTCCACACTTTCAGTCCACGGATAGGTGTGGCTTCAGGAGAACACTGGATGTTTACTTTCCTTGGCGGGAGAGTTGGTGTGAAAATGACTCCCACAGCTGGGGAAACACACCCGGTGTTTTACAGACAGAGTCTGTGGGCCTGGGAATGGGGGAGCAGGAGAGTGAGGACTTCTGCGCCCCAGAAAAGCAAATCCAAAGCCTCGTGCCCTAAAGACAAGGCACTGCATTCACTTCAGCACCATCTCCTTAGGTGCCGTGGGGCCAAGGTGCTACGCTAGGTCTTGGGCATCCAGAGAGTCTGGCAGAGAGCTCACAGGCACTCAGAGAATAGACAGCAAAAGGTTGTCATCACAATATGCTAAGGGAGATGGCAGAAAGAAGTACAAGTTTTAAGAGGGAAAAAAAAAAATCCGAAGGTGAGAGCAACTAGCTCAGGTCAGGGGGCATGCAAGAGATGACAGTGGAGCGGGGTCCTGAGGGGTGCATAGGAGTTCTCCAAGAAAGGGTACAGTAAGCAGAGATGCAGTGGAGAGTACGCAGGATGGCCCAGGGCAGAGGGTTGTCCAGGAAGGGACTGTAGGGAGCCTCCATCTATCCACCCTGTACCCATATGCAGACGACAGGCAAGAGCTGGTTCACAGGCTCCCTGCTGTCAGAGAGCTTACCCACGCACTGGGGAGTCACGCATTTACCACACTAATGGATGTGAATGTGTAAACATTCTCTGGGGGAAAGGAATTCGATTCTTGGAAAACAGGTCTGAACTCGGAGAACAGGTCTGAACCGTCAGGGAGGACTCCCTCACCGAAGTGACCGGGACCTGAGGTCTGGAGACAGTGTAGCTGTCCATTTGGTAAAGGAGTGGGTGGGCAAACACATTCCCAGCAGAGAGAACATCCAGTGCAAAGGCCCTGGTGGAAGGAAGCCTGGCACATTCAAAGAGCTAGAAGGTTGGAGGAGCTCAGGAAGCAGCAGGAAATGGGGGGAAGACGAGGCCCAGGGGACAGCCAGGGCAGGCCCGCAGAGCCGGGGCGGTGCCGGGGGACCATCTTCATGCCAAGAACAACAGGAAAAGCCTCCAAAGGAGAGTTTGAACAGAAGCCTGAAGCAATCAGATTTGCATTTTACGGGGTCACCGTGGCTTTAGTGTGGAGGGAACAGGAACACCAGCAGTGAGCCCAGCCAGGAAGCCATTGCAGGACCGGGATAAGTGTCCGGATAAGCAAGGCGTTTAAGAAGTAAACTCAACAGGGCGTGGGGATAGATGAGACGTGCATAGTCAGGAAGAGGGAGGTGGTGGCATGGGGGAGGGCAAAAGACAACGGGCTTACCAGGCAGAAGAGAGCAAAAGTCACAAAGACTTTGTATGTGGAGACATGTGAACCTTAGCCTCTGGGTAAGCAAGAGACATCAAGAGGAGGAGGGCATGGAATGAATGGAGAACAGTCTATAAAATGCCATGCAGGGGGGCACCTGGGTGGCTCAATTGGTTAAGCATCTGCCTTCGGCTCAGGTCATGATCCCAAGGCTCTGCACTCAGCTTCTCCCTCTGCCTGCTTCTCCCTCTCCTTCCTGCTTCTGCTCTCCCTCGCTATCTCTGTCTCTCTCTCTCTCCAATACATACATAAAATCTTAAAAAAAAAAGTTCCAGGCAGGGCTTTGGAATCAGAGCAACTAGATCTCTGCTCTTCTCCTTACTTGCTGTGTCAGGGCAAGTGACTTCATGTCTTTGAGCCTCTGTCTGTTGCTTTGTAAAAGGAGATAATCATATTAGATTGCATCATGAAATTCTGACTTTGTGGGTCAAAAACAATCAAAAGTCAACAATTTCATATGGTTCGATGTAATACATGTGTCCTACGGGCTACTGTGACCATCTCATAAGATGATCCTGTGAGTGCGCACATTGTCTTCATTTTCTTTATCATCACCTTCATCACGTTAACCACGGTCGCCCAGGTGCGCAGGGCTTGCTGATGGAAGCAAGCTGAGCTCCTGCTCACCTGGCCAATCGTCAAGGCAGATCTCTCTTCTGCAAGGCTGTTCGGCTCAGTGGCGCTTCTCCCCGACCCCTGGCTGGCCTCTGAAAGCATCCCAGCCCACCCAGCAGGGCATTTAGACACTCCTGGAATTGCACCGGGCCTGGAGGGTGTGGCCTGCCAGGGAGGGCCTAGGGAAGCCTGAGAAAGCTGTGGGTGTGCAGGAGAGGGAGAGGGTGAAGGTTTCCGGTTCCTGATGCTCCAGTTATGCGCATGTGACACTAGGTAAGTCCTCACTCTCTCATTTGCAAAACACTAGGCCAGGGCTGGCAAACTTAATCTATAAAGGCACAGACTGTAAATAATTTCAGTTTTGCGGACCATGTGGGTTCTGTTTCAACTACTCGACTCTGGCATCGTGACGTGAAAGCAGCCGGAGGTAAGTAAAGGCAGAGGGCCCAGGGCACAGGATACTTTTAGGGGCCTGTGACAATATTTGAATTTTAATTTATTTTCAAGTCAGAAGAAAAAAATAATATAATAATGATGGAGATGTAAGAGTGAATTCAGCCCACATTATATTTGTCTTTATACCAGCACAATCATAAAATACCATTTTATTTATTTATTTATTTTAATGGAGGAAGAAGCCACAGACGCAAAAGTGTCTAGGACCCACCAAAATCATAATGTGACCATCTGTAGAAAAGTAAAATGTTACTTATGGGTATTGAAATGTGAACTTCTTATACTTTTTGTCAGGAAATCTTTTTTTTTTTTTAAGAGCTTATTTATTTATTTGACAGAGAGAGACACAGCGAGAGAGGGAACACAAGCAGGGGGAGTGGGAGAGGGAGAAGCAGGCTGCCCACCAAGCAGGGAGCCCGATGCGGGGGCTCGATCCCA